AGACATGGCTGGGTGATAGAACTTTATTATCACTTCTAGCAAAAAAGGGGTCAATAGTACAAAAAAGATTCTTTGGCTTGTAACAACAGAGAGACCATTGTGGCTCTAAATAGAACCATTATTGAGACGTTCTTTAAAGAACGATGCAACAGTTTCTGCAGAAGCAGCATTTAATCTTGCAAAGAACCATTTAAATGGTTCAGTATTTTTTCAACAAATCTTTTTGATTTCTTTTAAAGTGAAGTTGGAGGATTTAGATGTATAATGAGTTAGTATTTAGATAAAAAAGACTATTCAAAAACTGCTCTCCCATGTTTTCATGTCACTACCGAAACACAGAGTTTTAGTCTGTGGGAGTGGAGCCTTATTTTAGCCACGCCCCTGCATTTTAGAGCAGGAAGTAAGACTGCATGCTTGTACCTAATGGCCACATGGTGAGCAGTTAGATTGCTTAGAGCCCGTTGCTTAGAATTAAACGTGTCCCAAAGTCTGAAAATCTATGTGTAACCTTAAGAATTGGCACTACAAAAACACATATTTTACAACATTTTATTGTGTGTTTATTATGATTTTATGTGTGTGCAGCTGTTGAAAGCTGTGTTTGCTAGTCACATTCTGGCTAGTGTTTTTGAGTTCCGCTCAAAACTACACAAACACACACACACACACACACACACACACACACACGTCAGAAATCGGTTTAGTTCTTTGTTTACAGCTTGTTCTTGAGAATGTCTGTATGGGCTGGAAGTCTAGAATCTTTATCTTTATATCTAATTTTACATTCATCTTCTCAACTGAGAATTTCTTTAGACAGACTGACAAATTTATTAAATTTTGTTTGAAAGAACCTGATCAACAACGTTAAGAATTTAAAAGCAGAGGCCTGTAAATGACCTTATCTGCCATTATTTTATGTTAGATTGGAGAATGGATTTGATGTCATGAATGAGGTTAATTTAAGTAACTAAGTAAAATTATGTTAAATGTTACTGTGCATCTGTCAGAGACCACCCTCTCATTCATTTAATTTCCAGTGAAAACAGCCTTTGACCCCTTAAAACCCCAGGCTTATTACATACTAAGACTTATTATTCAGTAACTACAGGGACTTCAGTGCAAATGGGCTGAGCTGTGAACTGTGTAGCAGAACCTTGGACCCACTGGTGGGTCCTGGCCATTTCAGGGGTTAATTACAAATTATTAATTTTCAGCGTCATGATGAAAAAGCAGAAAACATATTTAACAGAAAATTACACAAAAGCCATAATAATTAAATATGATACACATTCTGTCAGTATGACAGTATTCACCCTTTATTACAGCATTTATTACAGCTTTCATTCTTTTCAGGAAACTTGCTTTCAGTTTTTCAAAGAAATCTGCAGGAATATTTTTTTCCACACCTCCAAAGTTCAGTCTTAGAAGTTGGTTACACTTTCTGCTTCTCACAATCCAAGTATCAGTCCATAAAACCCTACTCCAGATTCCATCACAGATGTCCTGTGTTGATGTTCTAGTGCAGTTTTACTTTACTTCCTTTCAGAGTCATAGCTTTGTGCTGTCTTCTCACAGTGGAAGGATGGACAGAAACACCTGTGTATTTTTTTCAGATCTGAAATAAGAATGGAGTTTGATTTTCTCCTCTCTCTCAAAGATGAAAGCTTTAAGTACAGTTTATTTGATGGGGGCAGTTTTGGTGGTCTACCAGGTCTTGCACAGTTTGTTAAAAGACCCTTTTTTGTAACTCTTTAAAATAAAACCGATTTTTCACTTGTTTTCCTTGACTTTCCCCTTCATTATGCAGTCTTAAATCTAATCTAATGAGAAATATATCCTTTATTATATTTGTGATTGACATAAAAGAGAAATTAGGGAGGTGGGTTTGGGTGTTTTTTTTGTGAATGTTAGTGTCTGTTTGAAGGGAACAGACTGTCAGTAACTCCTTTAGGAGCAGCTTTTGTTTTAAGGACTTAACTGGTTGGTTTTAAGATTGGAAGGATGGAAGAGTTAAAGAGTAGGAAGTAAAGAGTGGACAAATGAAATACTGATATATTTGATATTTGATTTTATATGTAGTTGATGAGCCTTTTAGATAATTGTTGAATAAATGTTTCCTGCTTTTTTGACGCTTAAGCACTTAATGACCGTTTTGACTGGACTATGTCTGACTTTTGCACAGTACTGTTCTGCCTTTTATACAGTTGTATGCAAAAATGTGAGCCTCCGTGGTCAAATGACATGTTTACATGTTTTGTTGATTTTCTAGGTGAAAACAAGTTAACACATCTTCTACAGAGTACACACATTTTAATGCACAGTTACTGTTTATTTACTGGATCTAACATATTAGACAAAAATAAAACATTAAATTTGACTTGTGTACACTTATGGCACAGTTTATATTTTATGGTTTCCAATGTTTTATGCTCAGCATATAAATAGAAGTTGTGCACCAAAATTTGCAGAAAGAGTTCCCTGTAGAGAATTTGGCAATATGTGCATATGACTGTATATTGTATAATGTTATGTGAACTGTATTGATGTAATGTATTGCCTAATATTATAAACTGCACTAGATGGAGTATGAAAGGAAAACCAGAGAGTTATTAACGTGACTTTAGTAAGTGGTGTGTGTGTGGCTATGAATAATTTAACATCAATTCGCATGGCATATGTGAAGGCAAATTCTCACCTCTATTTTAAGCCTCATCATGCACACATATACACACACTTTGATTCTCACAAACTTGCACATACACACACATTGAGTCATTCTTCGCAGCTGTCCACATGCCTGTCCGCACCTCCCACGGTTCAGAGTGTGTCTGACACCTGAAAAACAGCGAGAGGAAAAAAGGGAAAGAGAAGGAACAGGCTAGAAGAGAGGAGTGGGCGGCTTATATAAAGACACAATGGCACTCTGTAGTCTACTGTCGAAAACTGTTAGAGCCAGCTCTGAGAACACTGTGTATGTGTGTGTGTGAGTAAAGGAGAGAGACAGAGAGAGCGTGTAAGGAGAAAAATGCTGGCCATAATATTTAAATCATGCAAGATAATCTAATTGCTTTTTACTTCACATTCACATGGTCATTTTCTGCATCTAGGGCTGCCACTACCAGTTACATTAGTTATCAAGGAATCTGCTGATTATTCAGTCTTAGACATCATTTAACTGCTTTACACTATACTGAGTTCTTCAACTATCTTACTCATGTGTTAAGTACATGTAAGTAAAATTGTTACTGCAGTGAATTGGAACGACTTGAATTCCTACCAATTAGAAATAAAAGCTAACATGGAGAGAACAGTTTAAAATATGCATCATCATGATGCAAATTGCCAATTAATCATGGCCGATTCTTTTTAAGGGTAATTTTTTAAATTGATGTTAATCAAGTCACTGTGACAGCCCTATCTATATACATAAAAAGGAAACTTGAATAATAATAAGCCAATATTAAAAACCTGTCCATCTCAATAGATTGCAGTTATCAAGCACTCATATATCTATCTATCTATCTATCTATCTATCTATCTATCTATCCATCTATGTGTGAATATATATATATATATATATATATATATATATATATATATATATATATATATATATATATATATGTACATATCGCTGTTGTCAGAAAAAGAACTCATCTCTCCAATCATATTATTTGATTATTTGAGCATGGTAGCTGTTCCTTTCGTTGTGTGATAATTCCATAATGATTGGACCAACAGAAATGCTCCAAATATGTCTTGGAATAAATTCCCTTTACATTAACCCCTTACGTGGGCTTGGGATTTTAAGGGGTTAACATTGAAAATAAAAAATGTTTTTGCCCTCTCCTGTAAAGTTACTGTTTTGGAAATACATATATAGTACCAAATTTCTTTCTTCTGTTATCATGTGAATGCCGTGATTCATCAAAACATCAACAGAAGCTCATCAAGGGACATCTGTGATTAATCGAGATGCTCACAGCAAACAAGAAACAATGTTTTGATTGATTAGAAGCTCATTTGCATTTGCTCATTCTCTGATACCAACATTGCAAAGGCCGATATTGTGATAATGACGTATTGCACAGCCCGACTGCATAAATATAATCCCTAATATGGTGAAAAAAGTACTGTATATACTAACCAGGCATGTTAAGGTCTGCAGAAATTTACTATTTTTGAATTTATCATTTTTGCAAGAGCCAAATCCAAAGCTCTGATGTCCAGTTTTATCACCTTTCTGCTTGTTGCTCTGCTCCAAACTTGCTTGATTTCTTGTTACACACCTTGTTTACCTCTGTTTACACTGTGCATCTGGGAGCTCATTAGCTATAGATGGTCTTTGATTATAAAACACATTTTTCTTGTGAGGGTCTGAGAGAGATTACATGACTGTTTATGAGCCTCACTGTTTAGAGTAGTCTGAAGGTGCTGGGTTGAGGTCAGAGGCTGAGCTGAGCACACACACATTCTGAGAGGCATACACTTTGCAACTGTGCTAAAGTTTGGAATCTGTGTTTTTTCAATAATATAGAGCTAATTTGTTACCATGTACTGTGTAAAATGATTTTAATATGCTAGTTCTGCTAGAAAGTTAGGAAACTGTAAAAACAGAAATCTTAGATCCCTCTTATTTCTACACAGACTAAAAGTGTGTAGCATCAAGAATGTTAATATCTGGAGTGCATCATAGTTCAAAAGTGATAATCAAATCTTAAGACAGGTAATTTGACAAAAATCACTGTAAATAGATTATTATTGTATATTATTAATAATTAATAATAGTTTTTTATTGCTCCTAAGATACTTAGATATTGAATATCTACATATTAACATTTATTTTGCTGTCTAGTGTGTAGTATTTCCATCCATATTGTGAAAGTTATTATTTTTTTATAAAATAGCAAAAATAATAAATGTCACAAGTGATCCCAAACTGTTGAACGGGAGTGGACAGAACTCCAAATCATCTCTCCTCTTTCTCTTTTCTCTCTCAGGGCTCAGCGGACTCCTATACCAGTCGCCCCTCAGACTCTGACGTGTCTCTGGAGGAAGATCCTGAGGCCCTGAGGAAAGAGGCTGATAGACAGGCGCTGGCCACCCTAGAGAAAGCAAAGGTATCTCTCTTTCTTTCTTTCTTATTACATACTAAGGCTTATTATTAACTACAGAGATATCAATGCAAACTGGTTGAGATGTCCTTTGATTATAGAAGTGTGTAATAAAACTTTGGCCCGGCTGGTGGGCCTTGGCCTTTTAAGGGATAAAACATTTTCCAGAGCATTTTCCTGTTGCTCAGCATTTTAGGTATCCATTATTTTGCTCTTATTAAGCCTTATCACGCCAAAAGTAACTTATCTAGCCAGTAACTACTTAGTAACGGGCTGCCCATTGCTACATTATAAAGTAGTAGATAGGGTGATTATGCCTTTTCCATTCTTTTTAATGCTCTTATTAAGCTTTATTGAGACCAAGTCAAGACCAAGACTAGGAACAGGCAAAACTGAGACAGGGCCAAGGAAAAATAATGATTTAAAATTTCTTTGTGGTTCGGTTCACATGCATTATGCATGGTCGATATCATAATAATAAATTAATAGATAAATAATACTAGCCAATCAAACTGTCTTAATTCAACTATGCACTTTGACTTTTGGAAGCAGATGATGGCTAATTACCAATTATGATTAATAGCCAATTATTGGCTTAATGAGACTTAATCAAAGCATTACTAGTGCTCTGGAAAATGCTTAATTCAGTCTAGTTATTGCTTTATAATATAGTAGTAACAGCCAGTTAATTATTAATTACCAGTTTGTTAAGCCTTAATAAGCTTAATGTAGAACATTATAATGTCCCCCTATACTGCAGTGTTACTCTAATATCTTCTACCTCTGCTTTTCCATTCCTGTTGTCCTTTCATTCCTTCCTTTCTCTTTCTCTCTGTCTACTGAACATCACTAGTGTTAAATCCAGGTGCGACATTTAGGTTGATGACTAGAACAGATATGGTTTCATGTGGAATTTAAGAGGAATTTTACTGATTTTTAAAAAAGATCTGCGTAATTCAGACACTGAGATGTAAACAAAGTCATTCAGAGTGGCTTGATGTGAAATGGTCCATTGTAGAGAAACGTACTAGCTCAGATTTCATACAGTGGTAGTGATAGGAACCAGGGGTCATGATGTCTACAACACAAATATAGCCATTTTATTTACTATCCAAAACAACCTGTGAGTATGTGATTCATATGTAATGTCGATCATGGTAAAAAAAGCTTTCTTTTTGGGGCTGTTTTGCCTTACGACACTCTACATGTACCTCTCTGCCATGAATACATATTAAAAACATGTTTTGAGCCACAAAAATTCAAAACTATAGTAAAACAATGTCTCAAACAAAAGGCCCTTTAAGTGGGGTGGATTCGTGACTATCATGGAACAGTATCCAGACCAGAAGCACATCAGTGACAGTGCTAAAACCCCACCTCATATTTAGTATTGACCAGTTTTATTTGATCCCCTATTATCCTCCTCTAATATTCTCAAACACTCTGCTCTAATTAGCAGATCTAATTAGACAAAACAAAGACTGAGGCTGTCATATCTGAGAACTGTTATTTATCTCACTTCAAGGATCTGAGTTTAGACACGAAATGAACTCTCTCCACCACCAAAAGGAAGAGACGTTTTATTGTTTTCAGTAGCCGATCTAAGTGATACTATGACTGGAAATTGAGGCTGGTCTGTTGCACTTCTCAGGATCACATTTTTTTTTCATAGCATGATTTATTCCTTATTGTTATCATTTATTATCATTCTGACTGTCTCTCTGTCCCTCTGCTCTTTCTTCACAGACTAAGCCAGTTGCGTTTGCTGTGAGGACTAATGTTGGTTACAATGCAGGCCCTAACGATGATGTTCCAGTGCAGGGCATGGCCATTTCATTTGAAGCCAAAGATTTCCTGCACATCAAAGAGGTCAGTTCTTCTTCTCATCTTTCACTGCCGTTTTCTAAATCTAATTGTATTCACAGAGCCCTTTTCAAACCATTTGTTTGTGTATTACTAAGCTTACCACAGCCTGGAAACTGTAATAAAAAATTATACGGTTATGAAATACTAATGAAATAATATGGTAATTTTAGTCTGTGTGTGATTGTGTTTGAGTGACCCTCATACTGATTTTGCACTGAAGTATCCTAAACGTTGATACAACACTTATATTGGTAATTTGAGTCGGGTGTGCACCATGCTGATTTAAGATGGCCTCAAATTAGCTCTGTAAGAACTGATTCAACACACTGAACATAATTTATTATTCTCTGTTGAAGGCTACAAGTACAGCAATATCAGATTGGGCATCTGTCTGTGTGTTTCTGCCAACAGAAATATAATAATGATTGGTGGATAGGGCGTCTGGTGAAGGAGGGCTGTGAGGTGGGTTTCATCCCCAGTCCAGTAAAGCTGGAGAGCACTCGTCAGCTGCAAGAGCAGAGGAGTAGACAGAACCGCCTCAGCTCCAGGTAACAATCAATCACAGCATCAACACTTAAAGGGGAAGTCCACTGATTTTTCTAAAATTCTGCATAACATAATCATAAGCAAAGTCATTCAGAGTGTTTTGGTGTGAGATGATCCATTATAAGATAACTTTACTGACTCCTTTAAAGTGGTGGTGATAGGAACCAGGAGTCGCAACATCTATAATGCAAATATGGCCATTTTATTTATTATCCAAAATGACCGGTGAACATTTATGTGTTTAGGCCAAAACATTATTTCTAGACTATCATGAAACAATGTCCCAGGCATCAGGAAATGTATCTGTGACTTTTTGATTTAATAAGCTGCTGAAAGTATTTGGACGTTTGGTTCCTATCACTGTCCTAAACAACTTTGACTTGCAGCATTTCTGTAGAATGGCACACTTTACATCAAAACATTCTGAAAAATTTTTTACATCTTAATGATTGAACTACAATTTATGATTAAAATATTTTTTTTAATTGGAAGAATTCCCCTTCAACCATCACCCAAACACAAGGCACATGGGATAATCCTGAGCTAGTTATCCCACCAATACTATAACCAGATTACTACTATGATGACTACAACAAGATCACCATGTTCATGTTTTTAAAAAGCCATTTTCCACTTGTTTGCGGTCCCCCCTGTTGTCCACTTACGCTTGTATGGTTTTGTTACCACAAACAGCTGTAATTAATCATTTTCCAACCTCCCTTTTTCCCTTAGTTAAAAGGCTGTTCTTGTTGCTGTGATATAAGTGAATTATCTTATTTCTGATTGGCTGCTCTGTATTGTGCCTCATTTAAAAAGCGAGGCTGAAATGTGCAGAACAAACTGTTCAGACTGAAACCCTAAGGGATGTCATAAAGCATACACTTCACCCACTCCTTTTGGATGTTTAGATCTTTTGGATGACTGTGCCATAACACAGTGAACAGCACAACATACTTGATACATTGCCTGCAGTAACAATATTCCATATCATTTCAATGTGAATAGGCAGTCATATGTCATTACATTACTGATATTTATTTTATTATAAATTCAACCAGTCCTTTTAGAATCATCTATTGCTCTGTACTTCAGTCTGGACACAAAAAATATGTTTTTATTTATTATTTTGTTTGTAATTATATACACTTTTGAAGTTGGATAGGGCTAGCACATTAGAATCACTTTATCAATTTATCTGCCACCGCATTGTTTTCCTATTATTGAAAACATTGATTCCAAACCTTAGTGCGTATGTGTCTGTGGTTGTGACATCACAACTACAGTTATTTCAGAATGGTCTGTTTGTTTTTATTGGCGGTCCCTTTAACAGTCAACAATTAACACTTCTGTGTAGTGCACAGCAGCCGCCAGCCACTAGCCATCAGCACGTCCAATTACATGTTCTGTCTGTTTCTTCCTGTTATCAGTAAGTCTGGTGGGAGCTCCAGTCTGGACGTTGCCTCAGGAACACGCAGGCCCACCCCACCTGGAACAGGTACACTCAAACAGGAAATGACTGTGCTTTTCAGTTTACTATGCTGCTATGGAGATATGATATGGACCCTTCTCCTTCCCCAACAACCATACAGTTCACCACATGACCAGAATACAAAATGTATAGCTTCCTTAAAATCAATCCTGGGGAGTCCGACCCTTTCTCAGCCCACTCTACCCTCATCTTTCCCTCCTGCTCTGTCTTGTTCTTTGCCTTCCTCTATCTACATTTACATTCCCTGGTTTCTCTTTCTTGTGCCTTTCTATCATCCCTTTTAATTCACGTGGCTTCTGTCTCACAGTGATATATCATATCTGTCATAGCACTGAGTGCAACATTTCCTCCATTAGCTTGTAGCTTTCAGTCTCCACCTCTGATTCCTTACCCATGTATCTGAGTCAGAGACTGCTCATAGTGTACATCATGTTGCTCTTCTTTCCCTCTCTTTTCTTCTGCCTACACTTCTTTCTGTCTCTCTTCCCCTTTTCTCTCCTGTCTCTTTCTCTTTACCCACCACGCCAACCACCCACTCTCCCAATTCCCAATTGGTTCGGCCCCCTGTATAGCTGATATGTCCTCAGCGCTTTATGATGACTCATCGGATTTGGAAGCTGAGGAGGCGGAGCCTGTTGACATGCGTGACCGCAAGGGCGTGGCCGGCAGTGTCACTTCCCCTCAGGGCAACATACCCCGTCTGCCCTTCTTTAAGAAGGTAACCATAGCGATAACCTTCGCCCAAGCGTGCATCAGGAAATGCCCACACTAATGCCCAGTCAGCTCTAACCAAGCGCCTCTTTTGCGTATGCAGCCTTCAGAACTGTATGTTTTCCTGCCAGCGTGAAAGTGTTTTGCTGAGGCACCAATTTCTCATACGTCCAGTTTCTTACCTACACTGACCTTAACACACTGTGGCTGTGTGCATCACAGTGCCTGAGATTTGAACATGTTAATTGATTGAAGCTTCTGAACAGCTGGTTTAACGTTGATGTGTCTGTAAGCTGGGAGGGCACTGACCAATACACAGTAGGTCATCTATGATGTTAGCCTGGGCTAATAACTTGGAAACTTTTGTCTGTCTGTAGTTATTTAACAGACAAATTTAAGCTGTTGTCACTTAACTATAGCATTGTGTAATTTGAGATTTTAACTTGAAGTAACTACTGTATGTACCTCATCATATTTGATTAAGTTTATAACACTGATTATATAAACATTTCTCACTTAAGAGGCTGTATTTTTACTGATTTTCAAAGCAATTAATTTTGCGTTATGCTAATGCTGTGGTCCCTAATTTAAACTTACATTTAACAGTAGAATTACAGTTCTGTGCAAAAGTTTGGGCGCCCCAGTCAAACTACATGTTTCTCTGATTTTCTAAGTGAAAATAAGTTAACACATCCTTTACAGAGAACACATAATTACTGTTTACTTGCTGAATTTTATTTATAAAGCACCCTTAAAACAATACAAATTGTTCATAAATAGGAATATATTAAATGTCAAAACATTAAAATACAGGATAAATATAAACAAAGGTAACTTAAAGATTAAACTGAATAATTAGTCAAGATTTTTTTTGTGTGTAAAGTAAAAAAATAATAAAATGCATTTGAAAAACTGAATAAAATATAGTAAATAAAATACATGAAATAACAATATTAAAAAAATAAAAAACGTAATTAATTTTCAAAATGCAAGTGTAGAAATAAATTCATTTAAATACACTAACAGAAGAAATATTGCTAATATTTAGGGATGGACTGTTTCACAGCTGCAACCACAAAAGCATTGTCACTCTTAGGCTTCAGCCGAGACTCAGGAGTAGCTGATCTGAAGACCTAGGAGCCATAAAGGTGGAAGAGGTCCACAATATAGGAAATTGCTAGCCTATTAAGAGCCTTATAAACAAATGAAACATCCTTAAATTGGATCATGTAATGGACAGGAAGCCAGTGAAGAGAGGCTAACACAGGGGCAATGTGGTCCCTTTTCTTGGTGCCCTTAAGCAATCTAGCAGCCACATTCAGTATTAATTGAATTTTCAACCACAGAGTACAAACAACACACCTGGATTAAGTGATAACAGCTGATTGCAAGAAATTAAGCAATTTTAACTTTTTATTTAAGTACAAATAACGCCAGGGCTTTCAGTGTAGGTGGCGTTTGTGGCTATTTGTTGGCTAATTCAGTCCCTCCCAGCCTTCTAAAACATATTAACAGCTTGTCGATAACCTCATGTGCTTTGTGCTTCTGTTTGTTTGTTTGTTTGTTTGTTTGTGTTTGCTTGCTCTCTCTCTCTTGGTGCGGGTGTGTGTGCGGAATGCTAGGTGGCCCGGCCAAACAGAAACAGAAGTCGGTGAGTCATCAACAGCAGCGAACTTTCAACATTTAAGCCTCCTCCACATCTCTTTGTCCTTTTCTTTTTGTGTTTTCTCATTTCTTGTTATTGGCTGTTAACAAGAGATCAGAATCTTGGAGCTTTACTGTGTTGGTGATGCTTTGATGCTCACCACTGAGATTGTCTTGCCATTGTGGCGAGGACACACATTTCAAATTTCCTTTCACTAGGGGTCCCAAACTTCTCCAACCCACATTCTTATGTTGATGCCAAACGTTCTTCACCCCCTTCCCCATACACACCTACAGAGAATCAATCAGTTAGCCTACAGCTTTATATGACTCATATTTCATACACTAAAAATGACAGATAACTGAAAACACCACTTTTTTAGCATCTGAGGGAGGCTTGCTGAGCACACCCTCTGTTGTGTCTGGCCTTGGATATATTTTGATACAGACACAAGGACTAAATTCAGTTTCCCTGTCATCATGTTTTTATGATGCAGACTCAAAAGTCTCGTAACTAGATCCTTTGTATGCAATGACATATAAAACCATGTAGTTCTCAGAGGTGACCAACTCAAAGCAGCAACAGTTTGTGGAAATCGCTGTTTAAAACTGTGTAGACATGTTTTTTGGTTCCATTGTCTCAGATTTTGCCTGGAAGCCAGTACCACAATTATATTAGTTACCATAACAAGGGTTATAAAGTACTGTCGATAACATGTGATAAAAAAAAAAAAACAGTAAAAAGTTAAGCAGCTGGTAAAAGTATGTTTTCTCAATTATGGTAAAAATCTGTACAATTACAGTCATTTAATTTCTTAGAAATACTGCCTTATACTGTGACTCAACACATTCACTAGTTATTCTGACATACAATATTTTACCATAATAACAGTAAAACCATTAACATAAGTGCAAATGTGTGTAAAATAAAGGTAATTGTTTGTTTTTGTAAATTTACATTCTACTCCTGTAATTAACAACAGCAGTGTTAAATACTGTATATCTATGGTATTTTAACATGCACTTTGACCTTTTTTCGTGATCATTATCATAAACATTTACTGTACTTTGATGGTCAAAATACCTTTCTTACAGTGTTAGTATAGTAACTTTGTATAACGCCTGTATGCATAATAAATTCACTAACGCTTTAACTGAAGGCTACCTACATAGGGGCTTCATAACAGAAGCATAAGCAATAATTGCCTAAGCATTCAATAATGAATTTATAAAGCAGTTCTTGAATATTTGTAAACAGCTTATGCCATTAATCGCAAGATGACATGTTTTAAGAAATCAATGACTTTGTTTCGATGTAAGTAGCTCAATTCCAATTATCAAAAGTACTTTAAGTTATTATAGATATTGTGTTATATTATTTTGATGAACCACTTCTATTAAGGAAGGCTGTGTAAACAACAGAGTTAGTAGAAATGTATAGAGCTGATAAAAGATGCGCTTAACTAGGCTTTGAGGCTTAATGACAGTGTTATAAATGGAACTAATGTCTGTCATTTTAGTTCAAGACCCATTATGTCAATACAGTATCATTTACTTCATAAAACATCTTGTCAATTAGTTAAGCTGACAGCAGTTATTTTCCACAATCATAACAAACAGAACAGGAACGGGTCAATAGTTTGAGGCAAATACATGTTAAAAGAAAGCTGAAAACACTTTAGTTGAGATGTGTCAGGGTCCTAACTTCTAATTTGATGCTATAACATGTTTATAGGGCAGTAGTGAGGGATGTTTGTTTATTTGAGCTTAATCTGTTTCTGTCGTCAGCTGGGAGCCATGTAGCATCGCCAACTAGCAACCTAGGAATCAACCAATTTGGCCATTTTAGGCTTGTACTTTAACAGTTGTGTGCAATAAACCAAAACATCAACTTAATTATTATTTGCAGTTATTTATGTATGAATCGTCCAGTAATATTTTATGATTGTGACAGACCTTATTGATACTTTAGTATGTGAGCTGTTCCACAAGTATAGCGCATTAGGCACAGTGTTTAACCTATACATGCATTTATAATGGTGAGCATAGGGGATTTATACAGAGTGCTACCACTATGAGTATTAAGTCCAACATAACGATGTATTGTAGGCTGCCTTTGCAGAATTTTATATGACTTTGGAGTTAAATGTAGGACAGGTGTGCAGAAACTTTTCTATGTTTATGTTATATAAGGTGAGAGGAAAAAGTCTAGAGCACAGGAGAACAGTGTGTTCTCTTTAATGCGCTTCACTGAGATACTGCAGATACATTTGTTTGGAACAACCTCTTCACACCTGAGGAATACTCGCCCCCAACGAACACAGAAAAACAAACACAGTTCAGGATGAAACCAACTTATCCTGACAGTGTGTTTGATTGCATTATAGCGTGTGACACATTGTGCATCCCACACACAGCACCACCTGCCACATACGTACACCTGTCCGGCGTCATTATCCCGGGAGCATATGTGGGTTGTTGTTGTGTGCGTGCCCAAAGAAATTTGAGATTTGAGACGATAATGAAGAGCGCTGTTTCCGGTTCTTGTCAGCTGGAAATGCAAGTCAGATGTTATATAACAGGACATTTGAGTGGGAGGGGATTCTTGTGAACTCCCTGTTTTTCCGATCAGTATCACTTTCTCTCTGCCTTAATTCAGTGTGCTTCAGCACTGCTTTACTGGCATGAACATCACAAGTTACATTTAGGGTTGTCACAATTATTTGATTGAACTTGATTACTGCAAAAAAAAGATAAACATTCCTTCTTGATGAGTCAGCATTGAAGCATTGGATATGTTGCCCAGTTTATCTTTTTCCAGTAAAGTGTTTTAGCATCTTTGCAACCTCTGCAAGGTTTGTTATAGTTCAATTGTTAAAGTCCAATTTTTATTGTTTAGCCTTTGTTGGAATTTTTTGTATTGTTTGAACTCTGATGAAAACTCTGATAAGTAGTCATTAAAATAATTGGTAGATTACTCCAGTTATGCAGGAAGGTGTTTTGAGTTGGGAGTTCTGGAATTTTAATCAGTAAACATGATGTACACAGTGACATCATGCAAAATGATATGCACGTCGCTGTTGTTGGAACAAAACCTCATATCTCCAAATTTCCAAACTTTGGATGGACGTTAATGGAACTAGATTTTTTACATTTTAGACCTTTTCAGTCGTTCCGTCATCTGGCATTTTCAAATTCTGTAAAAAAAGTACAAAACAAATAAACCAAAAAAAGAAATTTTCATAAAAGTGGCAACCAATCAGATGATATGTGGCGCAGAAACTGATTGTGTCACGTCAACAGTAAAGTTCTTCACTGAGATTCAGTACTCGATTGCACAAGAGATATAGAGTTTGGAAAAAAATAAAGTAATAAAAACATAGAACACTACTTTAGTATTATAGGGATGTACTGATCATTCATTTTTATGGTTGATTCAGTTTTCTTTACACTCAAAATGCTAGCACATTTCCAATACTTTCAGTTAGCCAAACTTGCAATATAAACAACATTATTTGCTTTTTAACTGACCAAACTGGCATTTCTCATTTATCAGTTAATCAGTTGCCTAATTTAATAACTTGAATCAAATAAAGTGCTACATAAAAGTAAGAGGAAGGTAACTGGCTATTTAGCACAATGAGTCATGCATAATTATTCTAATAGGGGTGTAGCAGTAGCATTCAAATACAGCGTCGAGCACTGATCTGGCTCACATTATTTACTTTATTGCAACACAGATCTGCTAAAATAATAACAATAAATTGGCTGATTTTGTGTTTTGAGCAAAAATCAGACAATTTCAATTTTGGTGTGGGCTCAGAACTACCCTACAGCTCTGCATACACTTACTGTGGACAAGCCCTCAAAGCGGGCTAGTAGTAGTTGCAGTAATAGTAGTAGTTAAATAAATCTGGGGGTCCTGCAGCCGCCTCAGTCCACATCCTGCATCCTTAGATTGCTCACAAACTAATATAATCAATAGTGTCAACCCTAGTTACATTAAGGCCAAATTCACAAACATTTCCCTCAATAAAGTCTAAAAAGTGAAAAAAAACTGCTGTCATATTACACCTCTCTCATTTATTCGCTCCATGCACTAGAGCAGTGGTGTCCCCTGTCCACTGTCCACTGCATGATCTGCTACCGTGTTCCAACCCTAATCTATCACACATGATCCAATTAATGAATTTATTAATGTCTGTATATTAAAACAGTTAAAAAGGTGTGCTGGAACTAAACTCTCCAGGGGCTTCGATCACCAGGATCGAGGTTGGCCACCCCTGCACTAGAGCAGTGGTCCTGCTCCTGGAGGTCTACCTTCCTGCAGACCCTAATCGACCCCATCTGATCCATCTAAATACTGCCTTCAGGAGTCCTTAATTAGCTGAATCAGCAGTGTTACAGTTGGGTTGGAGGTGAAACCTCCAGGAAGGTATATCTCCAGGAGAAGTGTTGCCCCCCGTACACTTGAGAGTTCTCCACATCAACATTAGGAGGATTCAGTGTAGACAGCATTTCATGAGTGGGTCTGCTGTGTAACATTGTAACTGTGTCTATATGTGTGTTTGTGATCCCTCAGATGGAGCATGTTCCTCCCTATGACGTGGTGCCTTCTATGAGACCCATCATCCTGGTGGGACCGTCGCTCAAAGGCTATGAGGTAGGAACATACGCCTTTAAAACTGAGGTAAATAGACTGAAGGCCATTCAGCTGAATCAGCTCCCACAGCTAAGGTGCTGTTTCACCCAGGCAAAATCTAAAATAGTGTGTTAGGAGAGAAGTGGTCTACGTCATGCTGGAGTGCTCTAAAATTAACCATATGCAATTCAGATCAGTGAGGCATTCCTGGTAATTAAGAAAAGCCACAAGATCAGGCAGCTCTGAGGAAATGCTGACAGCAGCAGCTGGAAGACTGTAAATGGAAATGATGTGAGTGTAGTTCCTAGGAAGAGCCTTGATGATTTAAGGGTTATCTGAAAGGTCTCCTCCCAGCTGTCCATTTATACACTGTTAATTATTGCCAGGATTTTACAGTATTTAACAGTATACTTCAAAATACTTAACACTAAAATACTGTGTTGATTGTTTTATTGTGAAAGCAACTCATCTTAGAGTGGATATTTTCTGTAATAACATAGTAAAAAGACATAGCCTACTTATGTGTGTATACAGTACAAAACAGTCCAAAATAGAGTTCTTAGTTTGTCTTTTACCTTCTTTAAATGTTCCAAAAAAATGTACAGGTCTGGTACAATTAAAATTATTTTTCATAAGTAAATTCACAGCAAATTACTGAATACTGAGTTACATTACTTTTACAGTTTTTATGTAAAAATAAGAGGCTGCTGTATTTTAATTACTGATCATTGCTGCAGTTGTACAGCAGAATACAGCTATGTTTTAGTAAAATATTGTGAAAGTAATGCAACTAGTAGCCATTCCTTTTCTGTAATTTTATGGTGAAATTTTGTGCAGTAAATTATAAGTATTGATTGTGTAAGGCTCAGTTTTATTAAATGCTCCATAGTTCATGGGTGTGTGTGTGTCTGGGTCTGTGCGTGTTTAGGTGACTGACATGATGCAGAAAGCTCTCTTTGACTTCTTGAAACACAAGTTTGAGGGCAGGTAGGTGTCAGTGTTTTATAAATTTGGTGTGGCCGATGTTACATTCAGTGTTTTATTTTTTTCAGTGTTAAATGCTGCAAATAAACTGTCCTTGTGCATTAAAATATGCAGAAATGTGTTCTCTGTAGAAGATGTGTTCACTTATTTACACAATAATTTGACCAGAGTGCCTGAACATTTACATGCGACTATAAGTACAGTCCTGTGTTGGCATGAAGGCAGAATTAATGGCCTGTCTAAAGATACTGACATCACAATCATGAAGCGAGTGCCTTAACAACAGCCATTATAAGGTCATAATACTGATGGTTGTTGCATATTGCAAGATGCCCATCATCATAATGCTGGTGCCATAGCAACAGCCGTTATGAGGTCATCATAATGTTGATTGTTGTGTATTATAGAATATCCATCACCAGGGTGACAGCAGACATCTCGCTCGCCAAACGTTCTGTCCTGAACAACCCCAGCAAACACACCATCATCGAGCGCTCCAGTACCAGGTCCAGTTTGGGTAAGAGAGCCACACGCACAGATGGACAGTGATAAAGTTTCACACAGCACTCTTGGTGTTTTATTATAAAAAGTGAAAACTATTAAAAAAGTGAACGTGTACACATTTGAACTGTAGAGCTCATTTATTTTCTCCTGAAGGCTTTTGAAAGTTTGCTGACTGTCTCGTGGTTCTTCTGTGGACATTCTGTCAGTGTTTTCCTGAGCATTTTCTGCAACATTTCCCTGTGAGCTGTTGTGCCTGATTGGCCTCTTCTTTCTTTTTTCATCCTGTCTTTCCGGCTCTCTCCATCCACCTCTCTTTTTCCGTCACACCTTCTTCTGCCTTTTCTCCGTCCCTCTTTCTCTCTCCACCTCAGACGTACTGGGTACGTATCTTCTCATCTCACTCATCTCTCCTCAAAAACCTCAAAATCCATCCATCTACCCATCCATCCATCCATCCATCCATCCATGTGGCTTCACCTTCAACACCCTCTTATTTTTTATTAGAGGCTCTTAATATGCCTGCTGCATGCTTAATCAAGGACTGAAGTAATTCTAAAAATGGAACTTGGCATACACTCTTAACAATATAGGTACCAAAAATGGTTCTTTAGAGCGATGCTGCAGAAGAACCTCTTTTGGTTCTCTAAAGCAGAGGTTCCCAACTGCCAGGCCATAGACTGGTACTCTAGTTGCTTTGCCATTCCTTGACAACAGCAAAATATCTGAGCTAATTCCCTCTCAGCCCCCCTACTGTGCCATCAAATCTGTTATGAACTGCAGTTCAGTCTGTGCTGTTAAAAAAGTTGGGAACCTCTGCCCTAAGAAACCTTTCAGTGAATGTTCTCAAAATAACCATGTTTGCAAATGAGGGTGCAGAACTTTTTTGAAGTTCATTTGATGTCAAGGTTCCATATCAGTTAACATTTTTTTCCTAGAACCATAGCTCTAAGCCAAGAACCATTTAGGTTCTTGATTATTAAGAATGTAAGAATGTTTGTGTTTGATACAATCAAAAGTATTCAGCAGTTTGGCTGTTTGGTTTTACTAAGTGTTGCAGCTTTGCTTGCAGCTCAACTGAAAAAACTTTCAGCTTGCAAGGAAAACATTGTTTGTCATCTTACATGATTCGTTCTCAGCTACTAAGCTTTAACAGGAACCATTTTTAACTGATCTTAAAGTGTTTGACAGTAGTCTTTCATGCTCAAACTACTCAAAAACACTAGTACCTCCACTAACAACTCACAATGTGAGTGCTATTTTGGGATAGATTTGCTACAGAATTCCATTGGATTCAATCTTTTTTCTTCCAATATTCGATCCAGCATTTTCTACTAATATCAGCCCAATACAGATACCTATCAGTACCGACATAGCATATCTAATTGCCAGCATTTGTTGTAAACATGAAGTGAAATTCTTTAGCATATCAACACAGCACTCACAAATATATACACAACTAGTGAACAATATACACTGGTGTAGTATACACACTCAACACTCTCAAAAATAAAAGTACCAAGAACCAACGTTCTTTGGAGAGGTGCCAAAAAAAACACTGTTGGTTCAAAAAAGAACTCTTTAAAAAGTTTCTTTAAAAACTCTACAATGGTTTTGCAGTAGCTTTTCAAAAAGCACAACCTCTGACATTGAAGAACCTCTTCTTAAAGGTTCTTCAAAACTTCAGATGTTTTTTAATAGATTTTTTATGATGCCAACCCAAAAATATAGCATTACTTGATATTAGTGTACAGCTATTCATGGTTGTAAGAGCTATAGATTTTTTAAACATTATATAAATGACGTGCACCACTATCCATCACAACAGAACCTAATCCAAACAATGTAAAGATTCTATATCAGTTTTTCCATGCCTTAGGCGTAGCTCAGTATGGCATGGCACAGTTAATAATCCAAACCCGGAACTATCCATGCTCTGTTTGTGTATCTGTGTCCTCCTCCCATCGCATAAGAGAACCGTGTAAGTAGGAGGATTTCTATGGAGGTTGTGTGGTCACATATTTCTCTCACAGTGTGAGGGTAAACACAGTAGCAATACAGGCAACATAGCGGTAACAACAACGGAGGAGCTGCATTTTCGGATTTACTCTGGGGATTCTGGTTAGCTTTTTAGTAATGGCTGTCCTATGACTCAGTTGACAAGGTGCAACGAGTCTGTGATGATTGCATTAGAGTAAGTGGTCTACACTATTTTGACCTGCACCCATACGTTCCCGTGCGGCACATTTGGTACCCCAGCACAAAAGCTAACCAAATTCAGTATGAGTACTCATTTGTACTTCACTTGGCAGTGAAAATGACGACACAATGCAAGACTAAGATTTTGCAGTTGTACCATGCCGCACTGCTGGGTGGAAAAACACCAAAACCTGGTTCCTTCTAGGCCAAATCTCTGCAGACTTTAGCGTTCTGCCTCATTAAATACACCTAATCAGCTCATCAGCTAATTATCAAACTCATCAGCTAATTGTGAAAACTTTGACAAAACTTTTAATCTCCACAGAGATGGTGCCCAGAAACCCCTATTGTAAACATTTTTTTTCTGAAGGTTGTGCCCTGTGAACTATTTAATAATCATTTTTAAGTGCAGTCTCTGTCTTGCTGTCTGGATTTGGTTGCCAGTGTTCCAGCTGCACAGTGCAAAATGAAGCTGCAATACTTTGAATGTGCACATGCACTGCGCTTACATATGCACAAATTTCAGGATAAGGAACAAACAAAAATGTGGCCTGGCTTGGGGTCGCTGAGGAAAGGTTTTGGAGCCTCTGCTCTAATCACAATAACCTCCACATGCATGATACTAACTCACCACGACTTTTGAGTTTCTGAGTGTGACTAGTACTTCAAAGCAGAAATCTGTTTTTCTCATTAAAACAGCAGTGTGACGTGTCTGTGATGAACACCACTCATCACTTTTTCTCTGAAAAGTGAAAAAGTTTGTTATATTAACATGCATTTACAGCACAGATTACAGTTTTATTATTTGTTGTATGTTGTTTGTGTGCACTGAAAGTGTTTTAATGTATTGAGTTTACTTGATTCAAATGTGTGTCTCATTTTTACATGAATAAAACACAGACAAGGCATCAGGGAGTTATTCAATGGGGCAATGCCCCACCAACCAATCATCGTGACCCACAAAGTAGTAAAAAGGAATAATGGTCTGAATAAAAATTAATTTAAAATAATGTGGCAAGAACACCATGATAGCAACATTTTATGCACCCATAGTAGCTTTTAGTGTGGAGCATCATGGAGCTAAAAAAAGTTCAACTGCAGTCAACAAGAAGGCACAACTTTTTAATTTCACAGATTCAAATTATCAGGACATGTCCAAGTGACAGCTAGCCAACTATGCCAGAGAACATAACCAACTGTCAGAGTTCTGATTGACAGTTATTACACTGTTGCAGATTTGCAACAGCAAAATGTAGCCAGCAGCCTTCAAACAGTAAACACCTGAGAGAAAAGTTGTTTTTCTGTCTTCAGTAAAATGCAGTGAAATCCCCCACTTATTGATTATCCACGTGGCTTGCTGCCTGGACTTGTAATTCTGTCAAAGTATAGAAAACTGTTTTTTTTTATTTATTATTATTCGCTGTTATTCAAGCATCAAAGTGGCATTTCAAATGTTTTTTTTTCTGCCATGTGGATGCGCCTGATAAAATCTATTACATTATCACCATTTTATCATTCAGTTTATTTACTTTTGGCAGTAACTGTGTATTTTATTCATATAGAATTGATGTACATATTTGAATAAAATAAATTAGATTTTTCGGTGTGTAGACCACTATGAGTATGAGAGTTTTCTAATCTCTTTCTCTCTCTCTGTTAGCTGAGGTGCAGAGTGAGATAGAGAGAATTTTCGAGTTGGCTCGGACTCTGCAGTTGGTTGCTCTGGACGCCGACACCATTAACCATCCGTCTCAACTTGCCAAAACATCACTGGCTCCTATAATAGTCTACATTAAGATTGCCTCGCCCAAGGTAACCACAGCACCCACACTTCCACTCAGTCACGAATACATACAAACACTTTTTAATGCTTCAGTCTCCTGCATTGTCTGTTTCAGTCAAGAGCTGTTTGCTCTTTGTTCTATCTATCTATCTATCTATCTGTCTATCTATCTATCTATCTTTCTATCTATCTATCTATCTATCTATCTGTCTATCTATCTGTCTATCTATCTATCTATCTATCTATCTATCTATCTATCTACCCACCCCTTAGGTACTGCAAAGGCTGATTAAGTCCAGAGGTAAATCTCAAGCCAAACATCTGAATGTGCAAATGGTGGCAGCAGACAAACTAGCACAGTGTCCCCCTGTGAGTATTTGTGTGAATATGCATGTATGTATAAAGTACAGTACTGTGCAAAAAGCAGACAGCTTCCTTTTGTTTATTTACTTTCCAGTCAAAACATACATTAGGTACAATTTATTTATTGTTCATGATAAAACATTTTACAAATGCCTTTAACACTAAGTATAATATCAAAGCTAGCGGTATTTAATTTGCCCATTCTTTACTTTTGTGCACCTACAGCCACTTTAAATCTTCTATCATTTCAATCTTAAAACCAAGAAGTTGCTTTAGAAGACAACTCAAATGTCTAAAAGGATGTGTGGCTTTCAGGGAGCTGTTACTGAGAAAAGGAAATAGACAAAAACAAGAAAAATTGCTTTGCATAGAACCACCAAATCTGGACATCTGAGATATGGAGTAAGGTTTTATGGACTGATTAGTCTAAATGTGTAATTGGAATTACTTGGGGAATGTAATCAAATACAGCCAACTTCTAAGACTAATCTTTGGAGGCGTTTCTTTATTGATTTCTTTGAAAACTGAAAACAAGCCTTCCGAAAAGAACTGAAGGCAAAGGGTGGACACTTTAATCACTAAAAAAAATGTAGTTGTTGAGGCTTCTGTGTTAATTGTCTGTTAAATATATGTTTTTCACTTTTTTCCTAACACTGAAAAATGAATAACTTGTGTTTAATGGCTGTTTTGACAGGAAATTAAATACAGGAAAAAGTGGTCTCTGACTTTTGCACAGTACTGCATATACTGTATTAGGGGTGTACAAATGCATCAAAGCATCGTTGATCAGTAGGCGACTGATGGAATATTATAATCAATTAATTATAAACATAAAAATCCACCTAACAAGCTTTATGTTTAAAAAAAACATAATTGAAATGAATCGCCATAGATTTACACCCCTATGGTATATGTATGTAAGAGAATGTTAAACTAATGAGTTTGAATGTGTATTTTTTCCTGCATAAGTCACGCTTCTCCACATTCTCACATTAACACCACAAATGTCTTTTCCACTCTTCCCTGCTCAGGAGCTCTTTGATATCATATTAGACGAGAATCAGCTGGAGGATGCATGCGAGCACCTGGCTGACTATTTGGAGGCATACTGGAAGGCCACGCACCCTCCCAGCAGCAACCCCCCCAACCCCCTGCTGAACCGCACGATGGCCACAGCAGCGCTGGCCGCCTCCCCCGAGCCCGTCTCCAACCTGCAGGTACAGGTGCTCACCTCACTGCGTCGCAACCTGGAGCTACTGGACGGCTCCGCCCCTGAGCGGGAGGGCCGAGAGGAGGAGCACGCCCTCTAATGGGGGGAGGGGAAAAACACGGCGGGGGGGTAGAGTTGGAGAACTGCTCTCTTCCTCGGCAGCATGAAGAAAAGTACATGATGAAGAGAAGTACACACAGCTGCTCAACAGATAGAAATCTACAAGCACAACTTTTTTATTTATCTGTCTCCTCTGATACTGATGCCATCCCCGATACATCACCCTTACATGCACACACACAACAGGTATCATATGTATTCGTTTGTTGCCCACCCTCCTCCCTAGAGCCCCCCCAGGCCCCCCCAGACATACACCTATAAATACCCAACTGTCTGCCCATCCCCCCAGCAGACACCATGTTGCCTGGGCTCTCCAGCGGTCCTTTGTTGTCTGGGAAACATAGGCTAGATCCCTGCCCCTTTCAGTGTTGCCATGGCACCAGTCCTGCAAAACAAGCTCACCTCTTACCTTATTAACACCATGCTTTCATCCTAACCCAGTGTGCGTGTGGACGCTAATGCTGTTTACCCAACTTAAATTACTGTGGGTGTCTATGTATGTGTGTTTTGACTGCAGTTTCAACAAAGAAAGATGGGCATCTGCCCAATCTCCACCTTAACAGTTGTCAAGGAGACAGGAGTGCTGTCGTCATGGCAGCAAGATATGAGCGAATCGTTTGATAACGGTCACTAGACGTGATCAAAAAGTGCAAAAGTAAACCACCTTTTGTTTATTTCCAGTCAAAACAGCCGTTCAGTAAAAGTTATTAATTTTTCAGGAAATATTTCTGAGGAGAATAGAGAGAAGATGTTCCACTTGCATAAGGAAGAAGAAAGTCAAAGTAAAACAAGAAAGAAAAAAACAGAGTTTCCAAGCCAGGAGTTATTATTGTTACATTTTTATTAAATTATTAAACTTTGGGAAAAAATGGGACTCCTAACAGCCATGCACAAGACCTGGTAGACCACGTGACACCATCAGATAAATAGTGCTTAGTCAGAGCCATGCTTAGTCAGAGCCATGACTTCAACACCATTGAACTTCGAATGTGAGAAGCAGAAAATACAACCAACTTCTAAGACTGAACTTTGGATGAGTGTAAAAAAATATATTCCTGCAGATTCTTTGAAAAAGGCCTGAAAGTCTCCTGAAAAGGATGGAAGCTGTAATAAAGGCAAAAGTTGGACACGCTAAATACTGAAAAGAAATATTATAATTAACGATTGAGGCTTTTGTATCTATTCCTGTTTTTATGTATATATATATATATATATATATATATATATATATATATTCAGTTTTTTTCGTCTTCTGCTGAAAACTTAATATCTTGCACCTAATGGTGATTTTGACTCGAAATTCAAAATAAATGAATCTCTAATTTTAGCACAGTACTTTAGATGCTGTAGAAATACAGATTGTTTCAAAATGCATAAACACCTAAATAACCACAAAATCATACACAAATGCTTTAAAAACAATACAAAAAATGATCAGCTGGCTATATAAGTTAGACTCTGACCTTTGCTCTTGTATAAAACTATAGGCACAAAACCTAAGCATATTGGCTAACAAGTGCGATTCACTCTTGCACACGTTACATTTCACTTTTACATGATATTCACATCCTAGCCACTAGAGGGCACTAATGAACAACAAGTTCTTCTGTGCCTGTGTGTCTTCTTGTATGTCTTTTAGGTGAAACTTGGCAGTTTTAGAGGTCCACTAAGCAAGATTTCACGTTTCCACCCAATCAAATGTTAACAGATATGAATACTACCTAATGATGTTAGGTCCGGAGAGTACTGTAATAACACAGTGTCACCTGTGAGCTGGGAAAATCCCTTCCTTTCCTATGGCAGCCACTGTGGTGTTGAGTGGAGTTACTTCCAGTCATATGAGGTGTAGGAACAGATCATGTTGCCAATCTCCTGACTAACAGTTAATCAGTATGCACCTAAGCATGACTTTTTCTGGCAGTGGCTCCTTGTTGACATGTGGGAACACAGGTGAAATATGAAGGCCCTGTTTATTGGATCTTTACTGTTAGGGAAGGTTAAAAAGGAAAGAAGAGAAAGCTGAACGTTTGCTGAACATTTTACTCTATTTACAGTAAACTGCTAATGAACCACATCCCATATGCTGGAAACATCTTGCCTTTTGTAGTCTAAGGACGATTCAGTGCCTGCCAGTCACTTATCATCAACATAGACATTTCCTCAGGCTTATATTTTTGTTTAAATGAGGTGTAAGTAGCATTTTTACTCACGGATTTCATTTCATTTGTATTGTAGGATCTTTAAGAATTGCTGTGATGTTGACCAGCATGGGTCACCAGAATGCATAGTTAGTGTAGATATTTTTAAAACAGTCATCCAGTCTCCTGATCCAAATTTGTCAAGATATATCAAATGCAGTAGTGATGTTGTTATACAGGTCAAAAGGGCAGAGGCAAACATTTCATAATTTCATAAAAAGAAATCTTCAATGGTCAAAGTCAATGTGAATTAGAAAGTTTTAGCAGTGAGGAAAAATAATGGAATTTTGATGAAAGATAATGGATAAATAGATAAATTAAGAATTCTGTCTTTTAAAAAATATGATGAATCTTGCTTAATATGATCTTTGGCATGAACTAACAAGCTAAACAAAAGTACATTTTGACTTTAGGTGAACTTCATTGCTAAAGTCAGACTTCCTTTCTCCTCAAAACTACCTTATTTTAATTTCTAGTGACCTTATTCTCATCCACTTAACCATCTAGTAGCAAGAAGGCCAGCTAAAGAAGGATTTGTGGACCCACAAGTTTAATTTGACTGAGAACAGTGGCCTGAGAACAGTGCTGTATTTATGTATGTAATAGCTCCTGTAAATGGTTCACTTGTGTCACATTGCTCTATAGAGTACAAGGGTCCTAAAAGCCACTTGACTTGCTGATTTGTATTGATTTGAATTGTTGTAACATGTGTGACTTTAACTTGAACACTAACCCTTGCACTAATCTGCTGCCTGCTCTGCTCTTTTTTTGTGTGTGTCTCTGCATGCTGGTTGGCCTGGGCGTGCGGTTTGGGGCCGTGGCTTGCAATTGCAGGGGCCATTTCTGGTGCACAGTGAGCAGAAGAGGGAGGGGCCCGGTACAGAACGTGGCCTCCAGGACTACCAGACCGACCTGGGTGGCAAGCAGCCGCTGCGTTCCTCACGCAGCCAGTTGCACGCAGGGGGACGGGGCTTGTCACGGCAGGACACATTCGATTCGGAGACGCAGGGCAGTCGTGACTCCGCCTACACCGATGACATGGAGACAGATCCATACGAGGAACCGGACTCCTGCCGTGGCCGCTTAAACCCCGCCCACCACGCCCCCCGACAGGCGTCCTGGGAGGATGAAGGGGCGGAGCCTGATCAGGAGAACCTCAACATAGCGCCGCCGATGACCAATCAGCACCAACGTGGGCGAGGCAAGCTGAGGGAGCGCTACTGTCAAGACGCAGAGGTGGGCGAGAGCACAGTGGGCCGCAACCAAAACCAAGAGGAGTGGAGCAGAGACGTGTACATCCGCTAGAACCGTGAACCAGGGAGGAGGACTGGAAAAACGAGGAGAGAACAGAAGGGGATGGCGGGATGGTTTAAAGGAATAGTTCGGTCGGAAAAAGCTAATGTTGCTAACAATGAATGAAAAATCATCAAATTAAGATTTATTAGAAAAAAAGGGTAACACTTCACTTCTGTTTGCTTCTACTTACTGGTTATTATTTCTGGTAATTGTCATGACAGATGCCATAACGTTTAATGTCGTGACGGCTTATGTCACAAGCTAAATTTTGGCTGTGTACTTTAGTTAGCCATCATGACCTTATGACATGTAACGGTAACATGACACTGTTATATTACTGTCCATAATCTGTCATTTCAACCCATGATGGCATATAACATGTTAATGGCATTATGCCAACGCTATGTAACAGGGTTCAGGTAAAGTGTTGGCAAAAGCTAATGTTAGCTAATGTTGCTAACAACAAATGAAAATCTACCAGTTACCACTAAGTATAGAAAAGCTAATGTTAGCTAAAAAAGCTAATGTTAGCTCATGTTAGCATATGTTTCTAAATTAAAGAAAATCTACCAACTAGCATTAAGTAAAAATGCTAAGGCTAGTCAATGTTGCTAAAAACAAATGAGCATTAAGTAAATGACATTAGATTAGATTAGACCTACTACACATGTTTACACATATAAAGTGCACAAACAAGGCAAAGGGCTGAAGACATTTTACCAGTTGGGGGCTACTAGCCTCCAGTCATTGTTAGCCACTTTAGCTTGTTGGTTAAACTATTCCTTTAAGGCGGCATAAGGGTTTAAAGTGGTAAGAATGTCTAAAGCTGGATTTGTTTACAACCCAGAGAAACCGTCACAGGAAAAACGCTGTACAGTTCATACTTGCACCAAGCGCATTATACCAACCAGGCTTTCACTCATCACATATTCACTCGGTTTTATTTTGAGGGGAGGGAAGGGGGGCAAAGGTGCGCTCGTTTCAGTTTTTTTATCTTTATTTCTATCTCACTTTGTGTAATACTGCATGAACCCTTACCAGTAAGAGGATAGTTGCTGTTCCCAAGGAGAATTAAATAAGACTCATATAACCACAAATTTGTGTGTGAGTGTGAGTGTGAGTGCGTGCGAGTGTGTACGGGTGCATGAGTGTATGTGTGTTTTTGTCCTCTGTAGTCTTAATCAGGGTCTATCTGATACTAAATAAGACTTTATGCCCACTTTGGACTTCACTAGCCTCGATTTCTAAGTTTTTGAGTTTAGTTCAATTGACCTATCTAGGCTCACAAATGCCTTCTTTCATAGCGACTGGATTTTTGTTTATAGCAAAAAACCTATTCAAAGCTAATAAGTTTAGTTCTCCAGTTAAAAATGCTGCGCTAACAAGCCATGCTGTTGTAGCTAATTGAAAGTAGCCAGGTTGGAAGTGACAACAATTTTGCCACCATTCTAATGTTAGCTCTATTACAAAAAAAAAAAACTGCCACAGGTCTATCCTAACAGTGTGACCTGTCACATACATACACAATAAATATCATTTGACATTAATAACGCACTCTAAATTCACAGACTTTGACAAAATCTGAGTGGTATTCTACAAGATCTCATTAGCTTAAATGAGAGTTTTGCAACATTTGAAAGAGCGCATTTGTGGGTGTAGCCTGAGTAGGTTAATTCTGCAATGGAACTGAATGAAGTGGAAACTACATTAATATTAAAATAAATTTTATCCCTAAGATATTTCATTTCACCTAGCAGATATATTGGCTAAAATGAAAGTGATTTTTGTATTTGAATGCTCTACTGCCATCTCAGTGGTGCAGTGGATCCAGATAATCCTTTCACCTGGAAATCGAGGCTAGATCAAAACAGATCTCTGCAAAGAGCTGCCAATATTTTTCATGTATATACTTTCTCTGTTTCTTTGGAAATTATTTATTAGATGCTAGAAACTATATCACATCTTTGGCCTGTTCTAGCTCCATTGCTGCTATGTGTCTTTCCAGCCTGTACAGTGTGCTGTTCTAAAACTCACTTTCGTGGTATGAACAGCTTCAGTAAGGTGGCTAACACACACGAAAGCCCACCGGCATTAACTTAAATTATGCTAACAGGTATTATTATGCAAGAAAAAAAGAAACTTTGAAACTGCTTTATTAAATGTGATATCATTTCCCACATGTTTGAAGGAGTGTAACGTTACCAAACATGAATTGAAGAGTTCTAAAGAATGGTCTAAAGCACTTCCATCAAAGGCTAACACAGGTGACTGACATTGTCGAGTAGAGGTTTGTGTTGTTATTATTATGTGGCACTGTCCTGTCTCATGTGTTCATCTTCATCTGCAGTTCATGTGCCAGTCACCCAACTTAACCACTCACAAGTGCCGAAATATTTCACGAAACTACACCCACTGCCCACTGTGGGTCGTCTTAACTCATATTGACGTTGTGTGGGTGTGTTATGAAAGTGTCGCCTCTCTGTTTTGGCTGTAGAGACATGTCTGTGCTACTCTACTGGTTACTTTAGTTGCAGTAAGGTGCTGATTGTGTGACAACGTCTACCACCCGTTTCAATACTGGTTTTAACAAGCCCTCGCTCACTCCACTTGGCCTTACCATTTAACTTTGGGGGAATCCCCGATGTTATCTTATGGCCTGTTTCCTTACTGTATTAGCTCAAGTAAAGTGTGTTAGATGAGCTCTCAGGAGGGCCAGGGATCGAGTGAGCACAAGTGTCGACTTTAGGGGCAGAATTTGCCCAGAAATCACTGCGACCTGACACATTACCTATTTCAAACACAAAAATGGAGGCAGTCATGGTCTGGAGGTTGGGGAACCAGCCCTGTAACCGGAAAATCGTTGGTTTGATCCACTGAGCCAACAGTACGTGACTGAAGTGCCCTTTGGCAAGGCACCTAACCCCCAACTGCTCCCCGGGTGCTGTGGATAGGGCTGCCCACTGCTCCGGGCACATGTGCTCACTGCCCCTTAGTGTGTGTGAGTTAACTGCGGAGGTGAAATTTCCCCACTGTGGGACCCTAATAAGGGTCACTTGATCTTAAAAAAAGGCTTAAGCCCCTTTCACACTCACATACTTTTATGAGTAATGTTCGGGCTTTGTGTTGTTTGTGTCACATTTGTACTATTTTATCAGGATGCACACGTGCATTCATCTGAATTAATACATTTTCTCTCGTTAAAACTGAAAAACTGTAAAAACTGGTCTGCTTTGCAGGCCATGCTGCATCACTTTTGTGCAATAGCAACCATGCACGCATGCAAGGTATTTTTTCACTCACAAAAAAGTCAACTGCAAAAGAGGAAAAAAAGCGTCACAGAAACCCTCAGCTTTGCCGAACATAATATTGACGTCTTTGCCTTTCCTGATAAAGTTTTGGCTTTTGCTCACAAATGCGGCCTCCTTGTAATTTGTATTGGCTCTCAAGCAGGTACATTTATCGGGATTTCGATAACCTCTTACTGTTTTATTACTGTTAAATTAGTAATAAACAAAGCCGTATGAAAGCTGTAGAAGTTCACTACTTTAAAACTCTTAACATTTGACTTGCCAAGTTTTAGGTAGCAAACTACTCATTCTGATATACAGGAGTCCACTAGCTCACTGAGGCCAACCTGCCAGGGGTTATTCTGCTCTTTGCTGTCTACTACTCCTCAAATTCTGAGAGTGGCTGCTTGTGTAAAATAGGTGTGACACACATCCAAGTGGTGAGGGGAAATTTGCGAGGGCATGTTATAAAAAAGTACTGAAACGGGGCCTAGATTTCAACATAGTCTGAAAACAATTCATACACACACACACACACACACACACACAGAGAGTAAATCTTCTACTGCCTTTTTCTCCTGTTATTGCCTTTTGTGTCTCTATCTTTGTGGCCATTTTATAAACCAGGATTGTATGTGTGTGTGTGTGTGTGTGTGTGTGTGTGTGTGTGTGTGTGTGTAGGTGTGTGTGTGTGTGTGTGTGTGTGTGTAAAGGGGCATTTAAAAAAAAGCCTTTGGTGTGCAGACAGTTTGTGAAAGTCTTTGATGGGCCTATTTTTACTCGCCTATGTTTCAAAAAGGACATCATGCTGATGATGAAATTCAGTAAATAATCTGAGTAAATAGCTTAATAAATAATGTTATTGTTGCGTTATCGCAATTGTTAATATATTGGAAAAAAAACAAAAACATGTAATCTTTGGTGCCTGATTGTAGCTCCATTTTGCTTTTTTTGCCTTTTGTTTTTAATCTGTGGGTAAATTCGTATTTTAATTAAAACTTTTAATCAGATTCAACCCTTTACTGTGTTTAACATGTGTTTCTGTCTTTTTTTTCTGCTTTTGGGAAGTACAGTAGATGCCAAAGTAAATGCTCATACAGTAAAATAGTACAGGGCAGATGAAAAGAAATTCTTCACGTATTTAATTTTTCCCCTGATGTCCACTTATGACATTTGTAAAAACAAGTTAATACATCCTCTACAGGAAACAAACTCCTGCAGATTTTAATGCACAATGTCTGTTTATTTGTTTGGTTTAACATTTTGGCAAAAAATATATATAAAATATCGCCTTGTTTAATTTTAATATGTTCAATTTAGCAAATAAACAGTAATTGTGCATTAAAATGTGGAGAAGTGTGTTCTCTGTAAAGGATTTGTTAAATTATTTTTACATAGAAAATCAATTAAACATGTCATTTAATCAGGGGTGCCCAAATACGCTCTGTTGTGATTGGAAGCCCAGTATTGTGCCTGAATCAACAGACAGTCCAGACTAAAACCATCTTCATCACTGCTATGTGAATAGACAGAGCTAAACTGCAGTGGATGTATGTTAATGAGCTGCTTTTTTGTGACATCACAAAAACAGTCTATTCAAAACAGGCTGTTTTCACAGCTAAGTTTTCAAAGATGGACTATATGTACTGAGAAGTGAGTGCTAAGTTTTGAAACTTTATCAGTCTTTACATACATACAGTTATTTTATTTAAATAAATTGAGGAACATTCCATTCCACATGATTTGGGCCCTTTAAAGGAAACAATACAGTAGAAGGGCAAACTGAGAGACAAACTATATTGATGGGAGAACAAAGAGCATGACGTCATGTGGAGGAGAACAATAAAACAAAAGAGGAAATAGAAGAGCGGGAAGAGTGGAATGACAGAGAGCAGACAGGGGGATGTGAAAGGGGAAAGAAGGAGCATTTATAGGGGGCAATTGTGTCTGTTTTTGAAGTCAAACTACTGAATGATTTCACACATTTCACACATTCGCTTCCAATTTACAGACTCACACTCAACACATATCCTGAAGGGGGAAGTCCATATTGGTCAGGAGTCCACAGTCTATGACAGCTTGCATAAAACATCTTAAATACGTAATTAGTTTATAAATATTTATGTATACATGTCTTAGTTTTTATAAATATTTAATTAGTGTAGTTCATACATATTTAATTAAGTTGTTAACTGCCTAAGAGATATTTACTTAAGATAAGAGTGTACTTAAAGAGCCAATCCACTGATTAATCAAATTTCTGCATAATTCAATAATTGCAATGTAAACAGTCATTCAAAGTGGTTTGATATGAAATCTACAAACTAGAAAAACTTACTGAGTCAAGTTTAATGTTTAACTCGGTTACTGAGTTTAATGCCTCTAGAATCTTCTTAACATACAGCTATTACATAAAATGGTTACCAATGTGCTGCCTGACTCCTGAGACATTGCTTTGATTTTTGCTCATAGTTTTGAGATCAGATTTTTGGCCTAATTTGTTTTTAATGCACTCATAGCAGAGAGGTATATGTAGTGTGTTAAGGCAAAATAAAACTTTTTTTGTTAATTTATCTCTATTCTACCATTATCAGCATAACATATAAAAACTAGACACATGTAAATTCACCAGTTATTTTGGATAGCAAATAAAATGGCTACATTTTATGCCGTCAAAATTGCAGTCTCTGGTTTCAGCATCACTGTAAAGAGTTTTCTCTTTATAGTGCACAATTTCACATCCAACCACTTCAAATTACTTTGTTTATGTAACAATTTGTGTGAAGTGTTTTGAAAAATGAATGGAGTTCCCCTGTAAAGGCATTGCATTAAACGTCTTAACTGCTGTTCTGAGCCCACATGCTTATACTTCAGTGTTTTATAGCACTGTGTTTTTAGCAGCTGTCAAAAAAGACCTAAAACTTGTACTTTCCATTTAAAAATTTCCTGGAAATTTTTTTGTATAGTTTAGTTAAAGTAAAGGGAAGTGTAAGTGAAAATATCAGCCTGCAGAATCAGCCTCTCTAAAGCATCCTGATATTTGCCTGGTCTCTCTGTAATGCCTTAGGATGACATTTGTCTTATAAGACTTTTGAAATACCAGACCAAGATCATCTGAAGTGTCTGTACTTTTATCTACTTGTAACACAATGAGCTGATCAGTATCTGTGAATGAATCACAATGAGGTGTAGCCAAAGCTAGTAGAGTGTCAAAATGTTTCATTTAAATGTAGTTACTAGAAGAGAGTAGATGAAAACCAACACTTGGTCTAATGTAGAATGATACACACCCCAGAACTTTAGTTAAATGTTTCTCTGTCTGATTCAACTCATCAACTAACCCTTCTTAAAAGGAAATACAGCTGATTTCAGCATTTATGTATAGCTAAATGGTTAAGATGTAAACGAAGTCGTTCTAAATGGTTTGATGTGAAATGCTCCAATTTATTTCATTTTATTTCTTTATTTTTAAAATGCTTTCATGGCAGAGGGTAACATGTAGAATGCTGTAGGGAAAACTAGTACCCAAAGAAAACCCATTCTTTTCAGATTTTACACTATTTTACCTTAATTTGTATTACATACAAAAATTACATATAAAAAATTACATGTAAAAAACTTGACATGTAGATTCACTGGTCATTTTGGACAGCAATTAAAATGGCTGTTTTAGGATTGTAGACATTGTGACTCCTATTTCCATTGTTAAATTTCTCTTCAGAGCACCATTGATTAGTGGAATTCCATTGCACTAAACTGTTCTTAGCTAGCTTAGCCAGTATACTTCTAAAACATTTTACAGCACTGTGTTTATAAGTTTGCGAAAACTTAATTCACAAAGGCCTAGAACTCAATTTGCCCTTAAGGACTTTTTTGCACTTTCCCCTTAAGAATTCTCTCAGAGTGCAGCTGTGTAGTGTGTAAGTGAAAACCTGGCCAAAATTACTGACAAAAAACAGCCATATAATCTCTCTGTAAACATCTTAATATTTACCTGATCTCTACAATGCTTTAGGAAACCAAGCCAAGATCATCTGAAGTGTTTGTTCCTTTATCTACATTTAACTGTATTAGAGACAATGGATCTGATTGGTAATTGTAAAGGAAACACAACGAAGTACAGCTTGATTTCCATAAACCATGCCAAGGCTGGTGGAGAATAATTCAATTGTGATTAGTTACAAGAACAGAAAAAAAGTGAAAGACACCCTTTAGTGTATAGTCCTAAGTCTTTATGTTAAATGTTCAGCCTAACAAGTTCTAATCATCCTGAAAATGACTCTGCTGAAAAAACAGCACAGTCTAAGCTGGTCTAAGCTGGTTTAGTGCTGTTTTAGCTGGTCACCCAGCATGGTCATGCTTGTTGAATAGCATACCAGCATCCAAAACACAACATTGCCAGGTTTGGTGGTGAATAGTATAACTGCTTCTAATGCTGCTGACCAGCTACCAGAATCCAAAACACAACATAGGTTGGGTTTGCTAGTGACCAGCAATGCTTGTTTATGCTGTTTTCTCTAGCAGGAAGTGTTCAGTCTTACAGTCTAAAATTTGGCCAGTTACTGTATCACGTAGCAAATGTTCTGAATGAATAATGATAATGGCAAAAAAATGGCAATCAGGTGAAATAATGCTCAAGCTTTTTATTGAGTCATCATGAACAGAAAACAGGCTGGGACGTGGGTTGTTGTAGTGCTGAGGTTGACATTTTTATCTCAATCTAAACTCTCTCGCTCTTTCTGTGCTTCTCTGAATCACACAAACACACTTCCACACAAACACATTCACAATTCTTCTATTGTGTGGGCATGTGTGCATTTCATATCTTTCTTCGGTATCTCTTTGGTCTGATCTGTATGTGTTTTTTTCGCTCAGACGTGTGATGACTCATACCTCAAAACCCGTGCACTTACTTACATAATGGGGAAACGGAAGAGCGAATGAGGCTCAACTGCACGCTTCAAAAAACGGAAAATAAATCATCTGCTTCTGCAAAACCAGGCGTGTCATAACCTAGAACTACAGCTGAAAGATTTCCTCATTCCTCGTGAAGCTAATCAAAGCTTTTGGCACCATGTATCCAACTATACACAGGCAGGGACGGATCCTGGTTTCTTGGGGCCTCTCAGCACAAGTGTCTTTAGAGACCACAAGACCTAAGGCCCCCCAAGGCCTGTCAGTGATCCATCGCTGCACATGTGCTTTTATAAATATTTTTATCTTTGTGCTTCAAAGCTCATAATTACAGTAACATTTGTTTTTAAAAAATTATATTATAATTAAATTAAATTAAAATTATGTTTAAAAATGAAGTCCCACAGTATTCTAAAAATCCTAATAAGAGTATTTAAAAGGCCTCAGTCTTACAGTAACATATTTGGCCTGGTCAGGGGGGCTCGGGGGGCCTCTGGGCATGAGTGTTGACAACAAAGGCCTGAGGCCCCACCAAGGCCCCACTGGGCTGGTTGGTGATTCATCCCTGCACACAGGCAGAGTTTATCAATATTCTACAACACTTTGTTCTTCAAAAATCATAATTGCAGTAAATAATTATGTTTAAAACACCCCACAATATTCTAACAATCCTAATAAGCGTCTATAAAAAGCTTCAGTCTTACTGTAACAGATTTCGCTGTAAAATACTGTCACTATCTCTTGTATTGTAGGAAAGCAGTAGTTCCCACAGCAGTTTGTCACAACCAAATTATATTTTTGATAATTACCAGTTACTTCAAGCTAAATTCTTTGAAGCAAATTCAGGCTTGTTTATTTGTTTGTTTTTTACCTGAACCGTTTACAAGAGTCCCGGGAATTTCTTGAGCTCTCTCTTTTTCTCTTTCGCTTCCTATCTTTCTGATTACTTTGAATTTTCCCTGCCTGGAAATCCCAGGCGAGAACGAAAACAAAATAAACTTCTGCTCTGATGACCATATTTGGAACGCCGGTTGCACGCATTCAAACGAGGAAACCCTACGTCAGATCCGCAGGTGGCCAATCAAGCTCATTGTTTCCACGCACTTTCTTCAACGCGTCACCAGTACGTCACGTTCCAGCACATTGCGCCCCGCCCCCTTCTCCCCTATAGCCTCTCCGTACTTGAAGAAATCATTCAACCGATATTGTGGCCTCGGGCTCGACAGCTTCGCTGGAAGAAAGTAACGTTAATTAAAAGGAAATCGCCGAAGAGCTGCGTCTTATCAGCGACACAAGACAACGTGGGTTTAGGGAAAGACCGCACTGTGTACTGAACCGCAATCGACGCTTTTTTAAAAATGGGAGTACTTTTTACCAGACTGATGGCTGTGTTCGGTGACAGAGGTAAGACACGGCTGCTTATTACTTTGTTATAACTTCGTTATAATGAAGCTTTTTGTTCTGCAGGTGCTGCCAGTCATCACTGTGGTGTCCTTTCAGTAGCCCATTACATTTAAGCAACTTTGACATTAACTTTAAAGGCCTGACCTGGCGTTTTATATCTTTGTCTTGGTCAGTTTCATGGATTTTGCTGCCAGTTATTGAGGCAGGGAGACTCTTAATGTTGAATGGTAGTTTTCATACTGATTATTACTAGTCTTGGAGAGGTAGTGACGATTTGAATGGTCAATAGAACCCCTTTCTGTCCAGCAGTAGACTTAAAGAAGAGTTCACCGAAAAATCTAATTTACACAGTATTACCATTGCCCTAAATATAGTTCATCAGCTGAGGCATGTTGGCTTTTTAGTTTTGTCCTGGAGCTACGAGGCTAATGTGGCTAATAAGTAATGGAAGTCTACCTTTTCAGTGCGATAGACTTCTATTATATTTAGCACTTTCACTGCTAAAGTAAAGAAGCAGACTTCAGACATCAGATATGTCTTAGCTGATGGACAGGTTTGGGGTAAGAGGTAAACTGTTTAAGTAACCCTAGCCCTAACCCATTCCTTTAGTTTGTGTTAAGAGATCTGGCCTGATTTTGCTCCCCTTAGCTGAGTTCCTCAGCCAAATCCTATCACACAGAACTATCTAGGCTAGATGTTCTAGATTATTGGTTTATGTGGATGTTCTCTACTGCTGACCTCAGCAGAGTTCAGGCTGTGGCCAGTTACGTAAACCCTAATGCTGTCGACAGGTTGAAAGTGCATAACTGTTCAGTTGTCTTTTCTTCAGATGAGATAGTGTCTCATGATTATGCTGTACAATACTGAGTCAGCTAAACATGCATGAGCGTGTTTCTGAGGCCAGTATCAGTGAAAGGAATGTGTGCTTCTTTGCGTGATATTTGGCCTTTTACCTACAAGGATACACCTGGGTTTCTGTGACTTTTTGTATCATGCATGCTTACTTTTCTCTCTCCTCCTCTTCCAGAGCACAAAGTGATCATTGTGGGTTTGGATAATGCTGGGAAGACGACAATTCTCTATCAGTTGTAAGTGTCTCTGATTTTTAAATCTGCTTGATGTTGGAGGCCCAAATTTCATTCACAGCTTGCATATTTCAGCTTTAGGCCCAGCCAAAGAAGCAAATTTGGTGTTCAGCATAATCTCCTGACTACAACTGACAAGAACTCCCCTGTACTTAGTGAAAAAAACGAAAAACCATGAAGCAAACTTTAGAGAAAACCTTTAAAATCCTTCTAAGCTTTGTGCTTCTGACCACTGGCTCCTATTATAAGTGTTTTGAGTCTGCAGTTTTTCTGTTCTTTTAAATCAGAAGATTTGTCAGAATTGTCACAAATCTCAGTGGAGTATTTGTTTAAGCCTTTTTTTTGAAAAATGCTGCTGTGTTTATTGGCTGAGTATTATAGCACCACCTGCTGGACACAACTCATTTAGCAATTTAAATGCAGGCTGAGATATTGTATAACTTATTTCTCCCCCCCCTCCCTAGTTTGACCAAAGAGGCTGTGCACACCACTCCTACCATTGGCAGCAATGTGGAGGAAATTAACGTCAAGAAAACACGCTTCCTTGTTTGGGATATCGGGGGCCAGGAGACCCTCAGAGCCAGCTGGAGCACCTACTACTGCAATACAGAGGTGTGTGCCTGACAATGGCAGGAAATAGGAGAGGGAGACACCTTTTAAGAGATTTTGGAGTGCATTTTTTGCTGTTTTATATTCTTTTTATAAGCAGTGATTTCTAAAAGTATTTCAGCTGTGATATTTGGTTCTGTACTTAATCTTTTTGGACACAGATCTGGTGTTAAATGTTGCTTTTGCTTATGGAGAGTATTATTGGTGTTAAATAACATGAGTATTTGCAGCAGAATGATCATGGCTGTATGGTGGAAGGAGTATTTCTAAACGGCCCACTTAGCAAAACAAAGCCTGGTGGATGGCTCTTGTAGAACAATAAGTAGATAATGGGAGATCCCATTTGTTTTAAGAAGAAGAACCCTAGAAGGCTTATAAGAAACACTGTGGTCTTTTCGAAGACCACCATATCATCACTGTTGGAGCAAAACCTTGTTCTATTGTGTCTATTCATCTTGAAATGTTCACACAGTTTAAAAGGCAACTGGCATTTTTTAATTCTATGAAAACAAGAAAGTGGAGGTACAAGTTTCGACAGTGGCAGTTTGCAGAAAGCTATGTGAACAGAACCACCTGGTTACAGTTTGGTTAAAAATTGCAGCCTGTTGAGTTTACTTTGAGCCCATTAAGTTTATGGAGATTGAGATTTTCCAGTGATCTCAGAAAATGGAAAAAAGTACAGAGGAAAATGAACTGTCCATGATCCAGGCCTTGGGCTGCCACTGAAACCAGCTCACTTATCTTCATTACTAACTTGACTGCTGGTGGTAGGTATTTCTGTAGCCCTCATCTGAGTCTGAAAGCGCAAGCTCATGTCTGCGTAGGCCGGGGGGTTCAGGAACACTTCTAGACAGGCAAACCATCAGTATCAGATGATGTTTGTGTGTCACAGACATCAGAGTATAATTACATGAAACGGATGTGCAACCACATATTTGAAGTGCAGCAAAACGTACTTCCTCATATTTTGTCCTCTGACACAAACTCATGTACCCTAGTGAGGTGATTGACGTATGATTTCCTTCTTTAAAGCAGTGAATGTATTTAAATGAAAGCTTACATGCCACTGACATACAGAGCCAAAACAACAAAAATGTGTTCCTTTTTTAAAAATCTGCATCAAATATCTACAAACTAATACAGTGTTATAGGGAAATTCCACTGTTTTTCAAAATGTTTGCATAAATAAAATGAACATGTACTATATCAGAATTGTTCACAGCCTTGATAGTGATAGGAACCAGCGTTTTAGAGCTACCTCACAGAACGTTGTTTAATATTTTATTAAACAGTTTTCTGTTCACTGGTATGAAGACCCTGATGCTTGACAATAGTTCTACAGTAGTTTTTGATATGGTTCTTTACCTAAAACATATATTATTTTTTAAAAATCCATTCATGGCAGAGAGGTACACTACCACTATTTCACAATTGACATTGCAATTACATATTACAGTTACATACAATTGACATTCAACATTACATAAAACCTTCAGAAAACATGTGTAAGTTCATAGGTCATCTTGCATAGTAAACAAAATGTATATTTGTTGTAGACACACAACCCCTGGTTCCTATCACCACCATTGTAAAGAAATCTAAGTCAAATCAAATTACTCTGAATGACTACATCTTAACGATTAATTTTACAGACATTTTCAAAAGTTGGTGGAATTCCCCTTTAAACTCACCATTCAGAGAAATTAAGTAATAATAGTAAAGAATTTTGAAGTTATTAGTCTAAATAACTGAGATCTGGAACTTCCCACTTTTCCTCAGAGTAAAATATGTTTGGAAATGTGTATGTGGAATATGTATGGAAAATGCTTATTACTATGTTAATGCCAAATTTATAATCTTTTGCAGTGCATAATATAGGATGATTCTCTAACTACAATATAAATTGCAAAAGCTTTTATTCTCTTCTACATGACTATATGCCATGTCTCATTTCTGCATCCACTGTTCTTTGCTGTCATCATGCTTTTATTTATCAGCAGTAAAAGTGATTAAGTGATAGTAAGTGTTTAACGACTATCTCTATTTCTGTATCTTGCAGATAGTGATCCTGGTGGTTGACAGTACAGATCGGGAGCGTTTGACTCTTACCAAAGAAGAGCTTCATCGAATGCTTGCACATGAAGTGAGTTGATATGCATCTCCACCTGCATGTCCTGGTCATTTACATTTTTTCATATTTGGTCATCAGTGTTTAGAATCTATACCTAAACCTCTCTCTCTCTTTTTCTGTGCCATGTTCAGGATCTGCAGAATGCCTCAGTGCTGGTGTTGGCCAATAAGCAGGACATGAAGGACAGCATGACAGCAGCAGAAATTTCCCACTGTCTTACCCTCAGTTCACTAACAGCCCGCTCATGGCATGTCCAGGCCTGCTGCGCGCTCACTGGAGAGGGGTGAGTGTTAAATATATTTAAAATAGGGCTCCATGATATGGACAAAATAACTGTATTACAAATGCATTATGCCTTGCAATGCATTATACAACAGTCAGTTTCGACAGCACAGTCTGATTGGTCGAGAAGCGTTCTACCTGTGCTGTTTTTTGTGATAAAATTTTTTGTTTTCCCAAAAACTGTACCATTCACTGGTTGCACTGGTTGCCAAGTTTCTACTTTAGCACGTACAAATACAGAAAATAGATTAGATAACTTCGGTAAGATAACGTTTGACCTGCAGCCCGCTTAGTCAGATTTTAAAGAAAGGAATGACAGCAGGAATACCTTAGATTATGGTTGCCATGTACAAACAAGGCAGTACTCAAACAAGATAGGCTGTGAAATGCTATACAGACTGACTGGAACAAAATCATTCAGGATAATCTGGCAAATATGTAAAAAACTGCGCTGAACCAAATATTGTCACAGTTTTATGTCTCTATCTGTAACGTGAAAGGCTACTACTTTTTTTGGCTGAAGGAACTGCCAACATTAAATAACAGTTGGGCTTGTTTTCTTTATTTTTTCTTTATTTTGCAGAATGGTTGCATAAAAGCAATAAACACTCATTATGTGTTATCGCAAATAACAACATGGCTGCATTTGGTCACAAGCGTTCTATGGTGTAATTAAAAAAAGCACCGGCGAATCAGTAATGTGACAGGGTTAAAGACTGGTCTGCATTTGGTTTGCTGTATTACATGAATACCGTAATTCATCGCAAAAAGCAACAGAAACATTCACCTGCAACAAGATGCTCACATCTGGTACAAAAACACTGTGACTGGCAAGAGGGCTTATGTACATTCTGCAGCCATCTGTGATACATTTTACCCCTTTTGAAAAGGGTAACACATTCAGTTGTTGTAATGTAGGTCAGACATCATTTACTTATCCCACTTTCATCTTCTCCCCTCTCTAGTTTACCAGCGAGTTTGGACTGGATGCGTTCTCGGGTGGTAGCGAACTAGTCCAGCGATGATTCGTCATTACTTTCTGGAGCCAGAGAGAATAAGCCAGGCCTGCCTTTGCCCTTGCCAAGCCCACAGTGCCTCAGTCTGGAGTGGAGCCAACTCAGAGCCCCCTTCAAACACAACAGACTGGAGGCACCACATGCCACGAGCTTTCTTCCCAGGAGAGGATAAAACTTTGGACATATAAGTGGCCATATGGGCATGTACGTGTGTATATCCACTTGCGTGTGTGTTTGCGTATTATGTGACTCCGTTTTAGAGGTCCATAGTGTTTACATTGCAAACGAATTGTGTTGATCAGGGCAGGAGAATTCTGCTGTGATATGCTGAACTCCTAGTGAACAGTGTCTTCTGGCCAGTGGCACCACAGTTGTTGGGAGTGAGGGTCACTGCCTAAAGACAGCCCATTAGTGGGTGGAGTCTAGTCATATGGTTGTTCAGAGAGGTGCTCAGCATTTAAGCTATGGAAGAATTACTTGAAATATTTAAATGGACCTTATTTGTTTCTGTTGGACAGATATGACACCTGTGCATGCTGTAATGAAATAAGTATTGTAATTCTGAAAGCAGGCCAATTATTCAGGTTCATGTTTTCTTTTTCTTTTTTCACATTTTTATACAAATAAAAGTTATTGAAAAAATCTTGTCACTTTGGAATTGTTTCTTATTGAAAAAGTGCATAAGCGATAGTTTCTTTAGTCTGTCTATTATTCCTAATTAAGAGACTGCAAGCTATTATTTCGATGTAACAGTCAAAAGCTTCAGAAAATAAGCCATAATTTCAACAGGCTGCCATAAACAGAGAGGAGGAAAGGCAGGCAATATTTTTCTACTTTACCTGGCAAGAATGGGCATCCACACTAATGTACACTAATGCATTGTGGGGTGCCTTGTTCCAGCTTAAATATCACAGCAAATCTTGAGGCTTTTTCACTGATCTCCATCACAGAAGAGAGGTTTGTTTTACATGAAGTTTAATAATTACATGGAAAAGCAGTATGTTTATTTATCTTATTATTTATGAATTTAACTCATCATTTATTTATATACTTACCTATTATTAGTTCTTTTCTATGACTGTTTTTAGCAGTTTTACAGTAAAATAGTCCTGAAAAGCATTGGGTGCCACAGCTCTGACAAGCACTTTTTTTTCCAGCTGGGTGTCACTCTCCACTCAGCAGAAACAGTCAAATGCAGACATCAAATTTACTGTTAACTGTGTGAACCCTTAAGTGATTTTTAAATCAGTGTCTAACCTAGCAGGATGTTATTATACCTGATAGATCAAATTTGATACTAGAGTTATACACTGATCAGACATAATATTATGATCACCTCCTTGTTTCTACGCTCATTGTCCATTTGATCAGCTCCACTTACTATAAAGGTGCACTTTGTAGTTCTACAATTACAGACTGTAGTCCATCTGTTTCTCTGCATACTCTGTTAACCCCCTTTTACCCTCTTCTTCAGTGGTCAGGACTGCCATGGACCCTCACAGAGCAGGTACTATTTAGGTGGTGGATCATTCTCAGCACTGCAGTAACACTGATGCAGTGGTGCTATGTTAGTGTGTGTTGTGCTGGTACGAATGGATCAGACACAGCAGTGCTGCTGGAGTTTTTAAACATTGTGCCTACTCATTGTCCACTCTATTAGACACTCCTAACTTGTCAGTCCACCTTGTAGATGTAAAGTCAGAGACGATAGCTCATCTGCTGCTGCACAGTTTGTGTTGGTCATCCTCTAGTCCTTCATCAGTGGTCACAGGACGCTGCCCACAGAACACTGTTGGCTGGATATTTTTGGTTGGTGGACTATTCTCAGTCCAGCAGTGACACTGAGGTGTTTAAAAACACACTAACACACCACCACCACGTCAGTGTTACTACAGTGCTGAGAATGATCCACCACCTAAATAGTACCTGCTCTGTGAGGGTTCATGGGGGTCCTGACCACTGAAGAACAGGGTAAAAGGGGACTAACAAAGTATGCAGAGAAACAGATGGACTACAGTCTGTAATTGTAGAACTACACAGTGCTCCTATATGGTAAGTGGAGCTGATCAAATGGACAATGAGCGTAGTCATAATGTTATGCCTGATCAGTGTATATCTTCAGTGTTGTTCTGTTGGTTTCTGCCACTGCATGCCACGTCATTAGAAGACCTTACATGCAAACTGAGCTGGATTATTCCAGCTCACTACAGCCCACGAATAAACCTTTGGCCACCTGACAAGTGGTCCGGTGGAAGGGGGCACCCGGATTTGAACCGGGGACCTCTTGATCTGCAGTCAAATGCTCTACCACTGGGCTATACCCCCATCTGGAGGGTGGACCACTACACTGGAACTTGATTGAAACACCCTGGACTAGTCGCCAGGCCATCATGGGGCAGACTCGGGTTTTTAGATTATCCTTCTTCTTGGTTTCCCATCTGTAAATTTTAAATGATTACATGATTTTTCCACTTTGCCAGCTCAAAATGCCCCACGTTCAAGGTGCACAGGGGGTCCTGGAGGGTCCCTGAAAAGAAATATACATGCTTAAATACTAATTTAAGGAAAGGTCATTGTTTAGCCAGCTTCACCAACAATCTGCATTTGGTATTCTTAACTAACTAGAGATGCAGCACTGGTCTGCTTTAGGGTGGCACTGTAGCACATTGGTTCACCCAGTTGGTCCTTCATAAACCAGGATTGTAACTATGCCTTGGAGACCTCTGAAAACCTTTACAACATGCCATAGCATTTGTTTTGAGGTGGTGGTGGAAAGGAAGTCAGTTAACAAATACATTGTTTTCCTGGACAACACACACACACACACACACACCCCGACCTACTGGTAAGACAGCGGGGCACTTTCAGCAACAGACTAATTCAGCCCTGCTGTAATAAGGAACGATACAGGAGACTGTTTGTACCAACAGCGATCACACTGTACAACACCTTGTCACTGTGCTGGGACATTATTGTATACTGAGACACTAGCAGGACAGGCTCGCTGAGCACCCGCTGAACATTACCACATCTCTATACTCTTATTATTATGCCCTGCTACTTTGTTTATGCATCTATATATGTACATATTGCACAACTACTAATATACGTTATTGAACTTCATCATTTACAGTGCATAGACACTCGGTTTGTGTGTTTCTGCTTGGTTTTAGATGATTCACTGGATGTGACAATACACCATTGCATCGTTGACTACATATTATTTATGCAATTTTACATACCTACTTATTGCTTATTTACTGAGCTATATCCCTCATAACTACTGCTGCTTTTAGTGTCAGACTTGGCAACCCACTAGCTACTGTGTGGTATGATGGTATTATATTCTTTCCAAAGTCTATGGGAATCTTTTGGGCAAAAAAAAGTGTCATCCACTAATTCAAGAGTCAGCATGGATGTAACAGATAGATCATGTATCAGTAATGCAAAACAGGATGTTCATAGTTTGAATTATTTGAATAAAAGAAACAAAAGTTACTACATATTCCCTCTTTGTTTGCACACCAAAAGAATTTTCTACTGTTACAAGCTTGACTTAATAGCAGAACACTTTTTGATGCTATATCCACTTTCAAAAAAAGTTATTTAAAGAACCTTCTACAATACATTCTTGTCACCGTGCATTCAACCATTTTGCCATGTCACCATACATTTCAGCATGCAAATGCTTCAAAGGTGAGTGCATTTTTTGTTTACACAGCTGGGTGTCTCTCTCCACACAGCATGACGTAGAGCTCTTTTGTGAAAATTTGTCACAGAAAAAGCAGTCAAATGCAGACCACATTTACTTTTAATTGTGTGAATGTATGTATGTAGACACTTTGTGATTTTTAAATCAGTGTTTATTCCAGCAGGATGTTCTTACACCTGATAGATCAAATTTAGTACTGGAGTTTTTCCATCCTTAATGTTGTTTTGAGGGCTTCTGCCACTGCATGCCATGTAATTATAAGACCTTATATGCAAACTGAGCAGTCTTTCACCTCACTACAACTAATAAATAAGCTCTCACCCAGCTACCTGCGGGTCAAGTGGAAGGGGGCACCCGGATTTGAACCGGGGACCTCTTGATCTGCAGTCAAATGCTCTACCACTGAGCTATACCCCCACCTACAAACACATGCACCACAGTAGAACTTTACAGCTTGAGTACAGGACACACCCTGAACAGGTCACCAGTCCACCACAAGGTGACCTGTCCAAGGTGACCTACACGCTTGTCCACCACAGAGGACTTTCAATCTAAACGTTGGATCTAAATTATGTGGTTTTACGGTAGCATCAGAATCAGCTCTGAAAACAAATGTGTCACCAGACAGTGTTGTCTAGAAAAGGAGATATATACAGACATAAAAATAGACATCAGAAGAAATTGTGAATAAATTGTTCAGATCTAAATCAGGATTACACAGCTGTAGTCTTTCTCATAACCATTTGCTTCATAAAGTGATTAACCTGAAGCAGTGCATTGTTTTTGATACTCTGCAAGCTTACACTGTCATACTACATCATAAGAATACCTTGTACCCAAACTGAGCCGTCTTAGACTGATAGTACAATGTGTCAGTGTCAAATAAACACCATGTATTTTGTTGGCTAAGAGTTCTCTCGCTCTCTACTTTCCTAAGTTTCTTAATAAAGGGGGCACCCGGATTTGAACCGGGGACCTCTTGATCTGCAGTCAAATGCTCTACCACTGAGCTATACCCCCTCTCTAAGAGTTGCTGACCGTTTCTGGAGTGATTGGTGAGCTGGCAATCTCTTATGTACCCACATAAACAGAGTTTGGCTGGATTGTTATAAACTGGTTTTATAATATATATTTTATAAATGTATTGAACCAAATTGGTTTTATATGGCACAAAACATCAGTTCCAAACTCTTAATGTTGGTGTACATTTGTGTCATTCTATGATAACAGATGGCTATTTAATGACTCAAAGTCTTAAATGACAAAGGAATGTGAAGACAGTAAAAAGTATCTACATTTAAGCTTAAAATGTACACTTAAAAATGATGGTTCTTCAAGGGTTCCTTAGTAAAGAAAATGGTTCTGTATAGAACAATGCACACTAAAGAACTTGTAGCTATAGATGGTTTTTATATAGAATCTTTTTAAAAAAAAGGTTCCATATAGCACCAAAATGAGTTTTGCTATTGTTGTGATGTCTTTTTCAAAAAGGTTCTATAGAGAATCATCTAAAGCACATTCTTCATCAATCCAAAGAACCCTTTCATGATATATAGAACCATTTCCTTTACTAAACAATCTTGAAAAGCCATCATTTTTATAAGTGATTAACGTAAATGTTTAAACAAACAAATGAACATTTTTCTTTGGTGGCGGGTGATGTGTGGTTTGCTGATTAGGAGGTGGAAGTGATTCTCACACGAGTTTGCAAAGTTCTATTTTTTAAGGATCTAAAACAGTTTAAGTGTTTCAATAAATTAAAAAATTATTTAATATTTAATAAATATTTTGTACTTTGTGTTTTGATGGCCTAAATGTGAATATAATGAGTAAAAGGTATGTTTTTATTTAAATAATGTAATTGAGTAAATGAACAAGTATTCAATTTTAACGGTACGTGAGTAAAGTACAAATCTTCCTAAATAATGCTTAGGTACAGAACTCAAGTATTTTCTACCTCTGAAACTCACAACTGCCAAACAGTCAGCTGAAAAGATTCAATGCTCAAATGAACATCGAGCTGGAGTTTACTGCTTGAATGGGTGAAAAAATTTTATGAGAAATAAGTAGATTAGATGAATCTAAAAAAGAAATCAAGCGAACAAAAATGTTAGGTCTGTTGAGACCTGCCTTACACTGGAATGCAGAACTAGCATAGAACCCTGCATCTCTTTACTACAGACAAGTAAACTTACATGTATTTTAAGCAACGTCCCAATATGTGGTTCTAGATCTGATACGTATCCAATTCGTGGCCATGCAACCTTAATGGCTACGTACACATTACAAGCCTCATTGCTCAAATCCGATCTCTCTGCCTCAGGCCGGATTTGAAAACATCAGATTTGCGTGTCCACACAGCCCTGAAAACATCAGATCTCACATTAGTTGAGTCACATTAGGGCAAAAAATTGGATTTGTGCCACTTCAGCCTGGTAAAGTGAATGTAGCCAATGTGAACGTGCAGATCTGAATTCATGTGCTTTTTGTCCACTGCGCATGCACCATCATTCAGCGTTACCTTGGCAGCAGTGCATAAATGGTGGAAAAGCAACACATCTGACCCTTTTCGCCTTCGTCTCGCTCTAATAATGTAGCTGAGAACTGTTCAGAGTTAATTATCTTCACAGCGAAGGCTCGTTCAACTCGTTAGTTTGTTTGCTGATGTTGCACATGACGCACGTGATTCATTGACGTGACGTTGAGTAGGATGTGTGCATGCGGGTCATTTCAGGACGCCAGTTCATTCACATTAATGACAGATTTGAATCACTCACCTAAACGAGTGTGAACCATCATGTCAGAGAGATCGGTTTTGAGCAAAAAATCGGATTTGAGCAATGAAGCTTGTAATGTGAACGTAGCCTTAGTAATTTGTGTTTGATGTATTGAATGTTGCATTTTACAGTGTTGCGTATCAGTTCCCTTGGCAGCAGTTGAACACTTTGGCTATGGTCACATTACCAGATTGAAGTGGCACAAATCTGATTTTTTGCCCTAATGTGACTCAGATCTGATGTTTTCAGGGCTGTGTGGACACGCAAGGTGAACATGTAAGGCTAACTGGAAACACAGAAGAGTGTATTTTTATGTATTCAGCTCTGTGTCACTCTCTGTGCTTTGTGGTGAAAGCTCAGAGGAACATTTGTTACAGCAGAGACAGTCATTAAATGCACTAATAACTGTGCAAACTTTAGTATTAGTTCTGTTAGTTTCTGCCTCGTCAATAAAAAGCCTCATAAACAACCTGTTCTACATATTTGTTACATATTACATCAAAACACTATCACAAGCTTGAGCAGGTTTCTAAAAAAGGGGGACCTGGATTTGGTCCAGGGACCTCTCCACTGAGCTATACCCCCTCACTTTAGCCAGGCTACTCCAGGAAAAATTCACCATCTGTCACACATAAAATGCAGACACTGATCATTCTACCGAATTGGTTCAAAGGCAAGTTGAAAACATATTCCACACTTTTAATTGATCAGGACAAAAATAGTTTTTTTTGTAAATGATTCTTTACCCTAATTATGTTTATTTCATTAAAATAAATGATTGAACATTCAATTTTGTCAATACCAACACAATAAAAGCACTACTGACAACACATGTTTTAGCAGTGACTGTTTTGGTAGTGACAATTTCAGCTCATTTTGAGCAAGACTTAAAAAATGCTAGCCAGCACATGACACACAGATTTTAACAGTTGTACACAAATAAAATCATAATATTTTTAATTAAAACACAAAAATGTTTACTTAATGCCAGAAATATGTGTTTCGTTAGTGACAATTCTTAATGTTACACACTGATTTTCAGACATTGGGACACATTTACCTCAAAACAATGGGTGATGGGTTAAAACTCAGTGTTTCAGTAGTAACATGAAAACACTGGACAGCATTTTTGAATAGTTTTTCATTTAAAATTAAACTCTTTTAAACTCTTATAAGTCTAAATCTTTCACTTTAAATCAAAATGATTTTACAAAAAAAATTGAAACAAAATATAAAAGTAACATTAGTATTATTTTCACAGTTGAAATTTAAGTGTTAAGGTTTGGGACAGACACCTCCCAACAGGAAGTACCCTATATTTGAATTTTTAATTGTTTTTTTTTTTTTACTGAAGGTCTGCAGTTTGAACTACTTTGGTAGAATAACCCATAGAAGAAGTCACTACTTTAATCTGAGGGTCCACGCTGTCCTAGGAGGTTGGGAGATGTGGCCATACAAAGTGGCCATACGAAGAAGCTCACAGTGAAAGCTGTGCTCGTGGTAGGACAGTTATTTATTGCAGATAAATTGTTGTTGTTGGCTATTCTGTGTTGTGATGAGGGGGCTGGTGTTGGGTTGGTGTTTATCATAGAGTAGAACAGTATGCTACAGTGTAACTGTAATAGAATACAATAAAGTTTTGTTTCTTACCTGTTGACGTACCTTTGAGGATACCAACCCAGTGAAATTTTAGTACTTTTTTCTCTGAGAGAAAATAAACTGGGCAGCTCTGAGATTTTTCACAGCACTCCTGCAGCTTTTTTGTCTGTGGTCATCCACAGCCTAGCTAATGAAACAAATGTTCCTCGTGTCATAAACACAATCAGCACAGCATTCAAAAAATAACACTAAATATATAAAATTTCCAAGAAAAAGATGATGGAATTCTAACAAAATGACATGTCTTTAGCCACAGAGCTGAAAAATCATAACAACCAGAACAATAAAAAAAATACAATAGTAATAAACCTACCAGACTGGGAACATGAAATACTATAGCATGCAATTATAAGACCACTTTTGGGATACTCACCAAAATTGTCCTTTATGCCCACTTAACCTTTAATTTTTCAACATAAGATAGATTTAAAATTAGTAGCTCAAATGTATTAACAGGTTATGTTTAATAAACCTGGTAACTGAAGTTTTCTATAGAAAAAAATGTGGCCAATCATTTTAAAGCAATGTGTTAATTTTGCCTAGCAACTGCCACTTGATTGAACAAGGCTATTTTTTCTAGGGCTCTGAGCTATACAAGGACATTTTTATTTGTTTAGCAGGGTGTCACTCTTTGTGCGGTGTGACATAAGCTGAGGGGGAAATGTGTTACAACAGAAACAGTCAAAAACAGACATTAAAATTACGAATAACTGTCTGAAACAAAGCATTTAAATCACTACTAGCTATATAACATAGCAGGATGTCATTACTCCTGATCAATCCCTTTTGACACTGGAGTTGTTTTGTGAGATTCTGCCTCTGCACACTACATCAGTAGAAACATCACAACTGCTATACAACTATCATTCAACGTGTTACTACCAATAAATTTGTTTCTCTCCACTTTCCTAAGTTTCTTAATAAAGGGGGCACCCGGATTTGAACCGGGGACCTCTTGATCTGCAGTCAAATGCTCTACCACT